TGCAGGTGCAAAGTAGTTTTACTTGCGATGTTGACGGATCAGATCTGCATGCGAATGTAGTCATTGCGAGCTTTGTGACTAGTTATGCGCGCCTCGAATTGTACGCAGGAATGGCGTATGTGGGAATAGAACGGCTGCTGTATGTCGACACTGATTGCGTAATTGCTTTAGAGGGACAAAACTTGAAGAGCCTACCTGTTGGCGAGTGTTTGGGAGAATTTAAGTCGGAGATTGGTGAAGACCAAATTATTGTGTTTGTCTGTGGAGGTCCTAAAATGTATGCCTATCGAACGCGCAAAGGTTCTGAAGTATTTAAACTGAAAGGAATCAGCATAAATCAGGGTAATAAAGATTTGTTTACCGTGGACACGCTTGAGAAAATGGTGCGAGATCCCAGACTGGTTAAGCATTCCGTGAACCCATACAAGATATTCCGGATTAAAGGAAAATGGCAGTTAAAATCCAGTGAACAACGCAAAGTTATTCGTTTCACTTTTGACAAGCGCAGAATCTTAGAAGACTTTCGAACGGTGCCTTTCGGCTACCATCCGTCAGCAGAAGTATAAAAGCCAGAAAGTTAAACACTTGCCAATTGTTCTGCTCCGTTACTGTTACCGGAAAAAATGTTTGAGCAATTTAGTTTTGAGCCGCTTCTTGTGCACCCGTTCAACTTGGTCTGCAGCTGCCAAAGCCAAGGTGGCAAAACATACTGGATTTCGCGGCTGCTCGAAATGCGCAAGATTACTCCTTTTCCTAAAAAATCTATTTTATTTTCTCTTACGAGTCGGCTTTTTTTAAAACCATGAAACGTCATACGAAAAATATTGTTTTTATTAAAGATATTCCAAGCGATATTGCAGAGGAGAGTTTTACTAATAAATGCGAGCCATCACTGATTATTTTAGACGATCAAATGCAAAATATAGATAAAACGTAGTGTCACTTTTCACTCGCGGCACCCATCATCTCAATCGTTCAGTAATTCTGACAGTACAGAACGTATTCTACCAAAATCCTTTATGAGAACCATTTCGTTAAATGCGCATTATTTAGTGTTGTGGAAACAGCCGCGCGATATGCTGCAAATCGAGATTCTCGCTCGACAAATGTACCCTCGTAGTTCTAGTTTTTTTATGGAAGCATATAAATCTGCGACCGCTCGCGATTACGGTTATTTGTTCTTGATTTCAAGTCCTGTACGCCAGATGTTCTGCGCGTACGTGCTTGCATTCTAAACGAAACCAGTGACCTTTACCAGCGCATTTACGCCATAAATACAACATCTATGGAGGAATTTGCTCTGGTCCCTGTAAAACACTTGACGGCCACTGGATCAAAAATGGTGATGACACGAAAGAAAAGTAAAGGAAGCGGGAGCGGCGCCGGTAGTTCAAAGAGTCACACCAAGAGCAGTAACAAAAGCAGCAGAAAAAAGAAGCTGAATGCTGGCAAAAAGAAACGTCACAAAAGTGGTAAAGAAGGCGCTGGACTGGGGATCGCTAGCTAGCTAAAATGGATCTGTCTGTTTTTATTGTAAATAGCAGAGACAGTAAAATAATGTCTTTATGTATTACTGCATGGTGGCTGTATATGTCAGTAAAGTTTAAATTATGAAAACAGATGGGTCACTACCGTCAGAGCGCTGAGATTTTATTGATCTTTGTTCAACATGTTCAAACACAGGTACGAACATCATTTCTTCACAATCTCACAAACTTCACTATCATCACCGTCAATAGCATCTCCATCATCATCGTCATCATCATCATCATCATTCACATCACCCTCATCGTCGTCATCCCCACCTTCAATATCACTACCGCAGTTTGCTTTAGTGGAAACACGGTCGACGCTATCCGTAGTCTCATCATTATCATCATCATCATCATCATCATCTTCATTGTCATCGACAAAACCGTTGTTATTGTGGCCGCCAGGTTTATTACTATTTCGGATTTTATAATTCGTCCTTTTCTTCGGGTTTCCGGTTTTGTTGCCGCTGAATTTTCGCTTATATTGCTGCTTTTTCGAGGAATAAGGTGGTTGCTGAGATGATTTTCCTTTCCGTAAAACTGGTTGGGGCTGACAAAACTTATTATCCTTCTGCCACTCTTTTACTTTTTCTCTGAATTTCTGAGCGCGTTACTGATTTCCGAAAGGTACTGCAGGGGAAAATGTAGTCCACATCTAGTAGCTACGTATTCGTCCTTTTGTTGAGATCTGACGATAAGCCGAATGTCTGCTCGCGGCTGGTTCTCTACATAGGTGCTCAGGCTTAGCATTACCTTGGTGGGCTTGTGCTGCAAGCAAGCAGGGATATTTAGTAGTGCCTGTACTACCGCTTCTACTGCGTAGTGACGGAAATTCGTCTTTATGTAAAGTAGAGCTCATAACAATAGGCGGAGATTGCTGAATGATTTCGCTGATGTTTTTTTCCGTGGGAAAAAGAATTATGTCCAGGCGCGGCTCGCCTTTCAACCAGCTATTTGTAAGAGCAGTTATATTCATTTGATAATTTAAGGTTTTTCCGAGAGTGCTCGTATTAGCCTGTTAACGGACCCATTCAGCGGTCTGAACATCGAAAGAATATTTTCGACACCGCGACCGTTTTTTAAAATTGCCAAGGTGTCATTAATAAAACTGCTAATTAAAAAGATTTTCCGTTTAAAACGGCAGCAGTCTCATTAGTAAATTGATTAAGCATTCTCCGCTTCTCGTAAAAGGCACAGCGTTGTTAGTTGGGTTGCAAAAATTAAAACTAAAAGGTCGGTTGGCTATAGCGATGCCAAGCGGAAATAAGATACTCATGAAAGGTCATTTTAGCAAATGCTTATGCCCAGGGGCGGCAGAAGAGCGCAACTGTTCTCGACAGCTCCGCTCTCCTTCCGCTTTTATATCCAGCACAATCATCATTCCGCCTATGCCAAAATATTATTGTTGAAAACCCTGCATTTGTTTACAAAATGTTTACAGAGAAGGGTTATTGCATGCACTTACAACAAGAATGAACGGGGCGGTATTCAACAGCGTTTCGTATTCCGATCCTCCAGCATCGTCTTGGCTTAAAATTTTCAGATTACCACTACCAGCATTGCTCTTAGTATTTCCATGTGCCATTTTTCCGTAATGCCAAGCAAAGTGAATTTCGCGCATTCAGCATATTGCTCAAATAGCCTTTTTATTGAGTAGGGTAGTAAGTAGGTCATGATGTTAAATTGTCAACGCCTCCTGCTGCCTGTTGGGGCAGACTGGAGAGCCTTTGTTATTGCCTGGCAGCAGCTGCATGGCAGAAGGCGCACAGCTTGTCGTCTGGCAGGGCGGAGCATGTCCAGCTGGCTGTTGTTTACGGCCAGATGAACGCAGCTTACCACCCGCTGCTTCCATGTCGGTGAATTGACTCATGCAGAGCATAGGGCGGCTATGGAACCCACCCCCACCGCGCAGAAAACTACCATTATAGCGGAAGCGTATAAAAGCAAAACCGTAACTATTTCAGCTAGCTACTCGATCAAGTTGTTCAGCGGCAAATTTCCAAAATGTCCGATTTTAGTCCGCTTATTCAGCAGGATACAGAGCTTGGTCTGAAAATTGTTTGGCCAGGAATGACGATGAAGTAGCTATTAATCAGCTAAGGGCAAATGGCTTCACCCCGTTAATCTTCTCGATTCCTACTTATGCGCTTATTGTGGACGGATAGATGTTGGATTAACTACACAAGCCAATCCAATCATTTGTCATATTCAGAAATATTCTGATTGCGAAAAACTCCGTGAAATGTGTATGGATGATGCGGATGATGATGAGCGCCCTATCAAGCTGAAGTTACCGGAGTTTCCAGCTTTTCAGAACCTGGACGATCGCCTGAAAAGCTATGCCCATTGGCCCGTGAAAATTGCGAAGTCTCCCTATGAACTTGCACAAGCAGGGTTCCACTATTGTGGACGAAAAGATATGGTTAAGTGCTTCTATTGTGGACTTATGGTCAGTGGGTGGATTAGCTCGGATGTTCCGCTGCTGGAGCATCTGCGCTGGGCCCCCAGTTGTCTCTACGTTCTCCCTTACAGATCGTCGCATGCCACCCATATATGCCACGTGCTGCTCACCAACAGACAGCGAACCATCATCATCGACAGCTATAAGCCCCAGATCGCCACCCACACCCTTCTCTGACCCGAAAAACTGACCACCACTAAACAAGCTTAATTAAACGTATCGGACTTGCTTCCTATCACTGAAGGTCATTGAAGATTACTATCAGCAAAATAAAAACCACCGCTGCAATGAGTTCCTGTCTGTTTACTATTCAAGTTTGAAAAAGGTTTCTGATTCTAATCGGATTGCATGAAACAATAAAATAAAGACGGTACCAGAAAGTTGTCGCCGGCGCAAAAATGTTTGTAAACCCTAAAAAGTTCATACGATACCGTTCTTTCAAGATTAAAAACCAAAACAAGTAGCCTGTAAATTGAAAGATCTGACCCTCATTGTCAGCTATAACAAGTAACTGCGCAGTAAGCCATCGCCAGTAAAGGAGGAAATGTACTGCCGCAAAAACAAAAAATTCAACAATATCTTCCCATACAGTAGGGAGAAAACGATTTCTAAAACAGCTGAAGAAATTGCCCGGACGATATTCCTTGCAGTTGGTTTTCTTAGGAATTACGGCGTAAAAGTGGCGCTGGATCTTGACGTTCATGATGCGCAAAATCGGAAGTGATTTATCCACGACACCATCTTTGTTCGAAACAGGGCGAAAATCGAATGCTACCGATCCGTTTTTCGTGGGAAATAGGAGAGCTTTCCTTTTCATCTGCAAGGTATATTTTGCCATTTTACATTTGACAAAAATAGAAAACCAATACGAAAATTGCTTACTGGGCAGTCCAGTGGCAGAGATCCAGGATCAATGAAAGGACTGTAGCCATCATAGCTGTAAATCGCTTGTCCGATGAAAAGAGCTATTCCGCCGCCATGTCGCTCCATACCATATCGATCTGCGTTCACTGAGGCCGCGGAAGACTCTTCCTTAGAGAGGCAGGCGATTTTAAGGAGTTCGGGAAGGTACGCGGCTTGGATTTCGGATGCGAATTCTCATACAGCTGCTCGAATGCCTGACCATAATGGAGCATTCCAAAGACGGCAGCCAGCCGCATCGCAAGGTAGTGCTCGTCACTTCCCGTCTTTGCCAGTGAGATGGCTCGAAAGAAACAGTTGCCATCGCCAGGCACGTTGTATGCTGTGTACTCTTCACAAAACTCCACTGATTGCAGCATTTCGTAGTGCCATTTGCAGCCCACATGCCGCGAATCGACATTTTCTACCAAAATTTGGCGTGAGGCAGCCTGGGAGAAGTCTTTAGTTGTAGTTGTTCCGCGATATTTCCATATTGCTACTTTAATGTAGCTACAAAAAAAAAAAAATGAATCGCTCGCTCCCACATTATACATACGCACACATGCGACACACACACAAACACACACACACAAACACAGGGTTTAGTTGTTATCCTTACATTAAGGACAGCAAGGTGGAACTGTTCAGCCGCAAGCAGTGTGGCGTCGACACAACATCTGTCGACCAATTCCAACACATCCACAATAACGTCCCGAGTGAGCGATGATGGGGAGAGAAGGGGAGAAGTCAGCTGCAATTTGCAAGATGCCGCATATTTCTAAAGAACAAAACAGAAATTCTGATGATTCTGTGCAAATATCTCAGACGGATTTGCCGGCAAAGCAGTGCTTTTTACCTCCTGGTCAACAAGCGCGCTCATCAAATGGTTGAAAGCGCCGCGACGGTGATCGGCAGAGGCGGTGCCTGCCAAGAGCGGCAACAAAACCTCATCCGGATACAATGTGCATAGCTTGCTGAGAAGATGCTGATTAATATCGACTTCGATTGTGAAACTCGGCTTCTTGACTTCGCTCAGAATCTCATTCCCGGATTTGGAAGGCGACGACAGTGAATCACAATCATCAATGGGGATGATATTCTGCAAGCATTTTGTGTGTACAGGCTACAAACGTAGCAGTGAATCCTAGAATCATACCTCTTCAAGGACCATTTCAGGACCTTCCTTCGGCTCTACGTCGATGACTACCGCAGGGACAACGGGCAAAAGATCGCGAACGTCTACTAGCGCTTCCATGCTTCCACTGTTTTGTACGACTGGCCCCAAGGGTGTTTCGGCGATTAAGCCTGCAGCGCCGTCATCAACCACCAAGTAGCCGCTAGCGCCACACTCGTAAATGCTGGAATAAGACTTCAAATCGGCTTTCACGGGCTCGAGGGCATCAAAACTCGACGAAACATCAAGGAGCTTCTGGCGGTGCTTGTACAAATCAAGCTTCTTTAGCTCGTTCCCAATTTGTTGTAAAGTCTGGGGTTTCTCTGCCAGTAGCTGCCGGTGTGCTGCATTTCGGTCCGTGCTTTGGGGGTGTGGATCGACAGTTTCTACCGCCTGTTTTTTTGGACCACTTGGCTGCTGCAAACCGATTGAGCCATTAAAACTGAAACGTGAAAAACTTAAACGAGCATGTTTTTCACATACTTCGGTTGCGTCTTCAGCATCATTTTTGGCGTTCACTGCCAGCGAAAAACCAAAGTGAGGGGGATTGGGTTCAGAGCCAGAGCCGCGACCGCTATCCTGCAGAGACTGCGCTTCCGCATCGGGCTTCACGGAATTCGGAAGCGATTGTGACGTGCTGGCAACTTCCATTTCGTCATTGGGAGGAATACTGTGAGTAGGGGATTGTTCTTCTTCCACAGCATCCAATGAGGTTGATGACGGCGACGGTGTCGCAGTGCCCGGTTCCTGTCCGGCAGACGCGGTAGGACTCTGTTCTGCTGACACAACCACCGAATCGCTGCTGCCTCCATCCCCGGACAACGACTATAAAGGCACGCACATTATTAACAACGGGAAGAAAATTTACGAGCTTGGTACTATGGATACAGTTCCGGCAACGCACCTTGATTGTCTTTCTACGTTTGGCTGATGGCTCCTCATCGCCGGTGGAAGGATGATGCGCTTCTTCCTGATTGTGGTCACCATTGTGCTCATGCTCTCCGTCGTCTTCAGTGCTCTTAATAGCACTCACATCCGCCCCGAAGTGCTCGTCCAGTGTGCGGCAGCGTTTTCCTGAGCTTGCCGGCAGCGGTGTGGAGTGGCGCATATCACCGGACGATGACGTAGTGGAGGTAGTGACGGGTAGAATAACAGGTGGCTGTTTAGAAGCTGCTGCCCTGCTATACGCTGTCCGCGTTGACCGAGTCGCACCTCTCGAAAGCTTCACAGTGGACGGACGTTTCTCTTCCGGCTCTGGCAGCGCCCGTTTTGTCGTTGGCCAGGGGACCTTGCGCAATTTTCCCACCGCTTTTTCTGCATGCAAGGAATAGATCAGTCAAAATGTTGCAAAGAGAATCAATCGCGTTTTCAAATATCTTACCACTACATCTGGCTTGCAGGCCTGAATGATGCTCAGGCTCCATCCAGAATCCGATCAATGCGAAATCGACCATGGGCCAAGGATCATCTTTGCGTAATTGGCGCAGGTCGTGCAGCTTTCGAGGGGTTAGAAGAACACAGAAGAGGCTGCCCAGTTTGTTTTCACGCCGGGCCAGGTTATCGACAGCCGGCTTTGCCCTTCGCTCCACTAGATCCCAGAGTTGATCGAATTTCGACTGCAGCGCGCGCGGATAGCAGGCAATTTTGAGAAGCCAGCCTATCGCTTCGGACTGATCTTTCGTCAGAGCCTGATGGTCATCGCAAATTCCAGGCATTGCGGGCTCAAGATTTGACAAAAGCGTTGGATAATGCTTAATAAACAACAGCTTAGCTGACGCGAGCGGCTTGCTTTGTTGAGTAGTTGGAACTGGAGTGAAATGAAAGCGGTGGTCAGGATTCGTAATGGGAACGGAGTCCGGTAGATCTACGGTATCATCCACGGCCTGGTCATCACTGAACGGAACAGGAACGTTATCTGGAATCCCAAGCTCTTGTGCATGCTGTCGTGCAACTACTTCGACACATTTCCTGGCTGTACTGAAAAGCTGCTTGCCCGTGTACTGCAGGGCGACCTGCGCGTTGACTTCCTGAGCTCGACAACACAAAACTTCTGCTCTTCTGCCGTGGGATTCAGGTACAGACAAACCTGCACAACAAAACAAAGAATACAAATGTGAATTTTAAATAAGGCATTGCGAGGACTGATGAACACGCACGTCCAGTTCTTCCCATCCCATCATTTCCGCCGCGGCGCACCGCTGTGCACCTGTAAGAGTAATCCTGTTAAATACTTTTCTACATGATGCGCCTAGCGTAGTTCGAGATTGCATACCGTCGTAGATGGAAATCTTGATTTTGCCATTATTGACCAGCTTTTCCACGTCTTCCCATGTACCATCCGGTTTATTGTAAAACACAACTCCCGTAACTGTCCAGCCAACTGTGTCGGGAGTTTCGTCTGTTCGATGGTTACGTAAATGGTGGCGTAGATCATTGGCATAGCTTAAAGAGACTGGCCGGACATCCGGGTGCGGGACCTTGCTGCCCCAGACCAGGCAACTAAGAGGAAATTTCCGCCTAACCAGGAACCGCGTTGTCAGAGCCGGTGGTTCAAAAGAAGTGGGTTTTTCTGGCAACAAGATATCGTCCTGCCTTAGGCGCTCCTGAGCTGCATATGCCCGACCGGAATAGTGGTACCATTCCACTGACTCCGGAGCGGAAGATTGGAAGTCAGGTCAAGCTGGGGATTATTTGTTGCCTTGGCAAGCTGGTCTCGGGCGTTTAACCAAGCTTCCATCTGAAAAACTTCCATTCTGCACATTCCGCGGGAGGTAGCCTTTGGATCTGTATTGTTGGCAATATCGTCAGGGCATTGACGATAGAGATCCGTACCAATAACTACGTCTCTGTAGTTATGGATATCCGCAAAGTTTCCTGCAATGGCTTCATTACGTCCAATTTGTCCGCCTTGATGGATCACCCGCAGCCGACAAGAACGAGATCTCCCGGTCCCTGCTCGATGTACCATGCATGACCTCCTTGCCGCAAGAAGTCTCTCCAGTCGGCCAGGATGAGGAGTTTGTGAAGATGGTTCACGCCGATATCGTCACACGTTGCGGTGTCTGGCGCGATAACTTGAGCGTACTTGTCTATTAAAATATTAAAACAAACAAACAGATGACACCTAAGGACGTTCTCATATGGGAGCCACACCCGTTGCAATTATTCTATCGCTTTCTTACCTGCAAATATTTTCTTGGCCAGTGGAAAGTGCTCAACCGGAATTCCATCCATGACTTAATGACGCTTTCTAGTGTGAACAGGAAGTTGAAAGAAGCGAGCATCCCATCTTCACAGTGAGAACCGAACCCGGTAAGTCCGGCTGATATGAGCAGCTGATTTTGGTAATGCCGGGCCGAGGACCGCGCTTGAACATCCGGTCAAGCTCTTTAAGCACACAGGGCACTTCGAAATCGCACAACTACAAAAAAAAAACAATGATTCCCCTACGTTTACTTAATTCCCCTACGAAGATGACACTTAGCAAAAAGGACGCATGCTTTAATTATGCTTACTTCTGGAACAATCTTCACTTCGTCTACAAAGGCATAATAGCCGACGTCTCGGGATGCAGCTTGTGAATGGCGAAGTGCGGCAAAGAATCTCACGCCGGCCTCAGCATCGTGCCGCCCGGGATTTCCCTTCAGGACATCACTGGCATCTAGCTGGCGTAAAATGTTGTTCTCTGATTTCCAGAGCGCACGTTTGGCACATTCATCCCAAGATAACCGTTCATCAAGGGGACAGTACTGCTTGCCAGCATTTTGAATAACGACTAAGCCGTTAGGATTGGCCGTGAAGAACTGTTTGGAATACGTTAGCTGTCCGTTCCTTTCAAACTCTTTGAACGCGGATGTTCCTGCATATCATTTCGCGATATGCACAGATGTTTGTTACCGGTCACCTGAAGATGTTCAGATGGATGTTTTAAGAAATAATTATCGTGGAAGTTTTACTAGCACAAAGGTTATGGGATAGGCGTTCAGCAGGCAGTTTATAGACAGACACACACCTTCATAAACAAACTGCGTGGGAATTGGTATTGACCGGGGTTTTCTTTCATTTGAAGATATTCACGCTTAAACAGATCGTAAATCTGCGGTCCCACATTGTTCCGATCGAATTTACATTCCACCTCGCGCGCTTTGTGCAGCTGACCAGGAAATTCAACGTCAAGGTTGGCAATATCGTTGCTGGATAAGCAGCCCATGGGCACTGTTGTTGCAGCGGGGAACGACATTGTTGAGGAATTACTGGGGAATACATGAGCGTGAGCGTTAATTCTAAATGTTACAAGAGTATAATTATGCTGGTTTTTTAATTGGCTACACGATGGATACAGGGCAGTGTGTCTTTAAACATGCTGTTCCTAATATTATTAACTGCAGAAATTTACCTAATCCGTACATATATGTTTGACAACTGCTACAGATTGGTAGAGGTTAGAGTTATTGACACTCGTGTTTTGCTGATAGACTTCTGATTCCATTCCACTTCCTTACCATCATCACACATTCTTGTTTTGAACAAAGAATTACATACAGCCCAGTATTAAAAACAAAACAATCAAAAAACTAATAACTGTTATTAGAAATCTATACCAATCAGCCATGAACAAGATACACATCATCAACGTTAGCATGGAAAAGAATCAGGAAACAAAGGTTTTAACACAAATCCAAATCTTCATTCCACTCTCCGCTGGTCCATCCTTCACCATCAGATCTACAAAAATGCCGTGATAGTTAGAAAATAACTCAACAGACTGCTGCTATGTGGCAAACGATGCAGCGGAAAAGATTATTGCACCTAAATAATAATATTCTACTGTTATTATTTTTCTTGTCTCACCTTACTACTACTGCTGCTTCTTCTCGTTGACCTTCTTTTTCTTGCGCCGATCATTGCGGAGACCTGTGCCGAGCTTGCTCCGTTCTTGGCCACGGTCTGCCGCTCTTTCCGCTGCTTCTCGGCACGGTGGGCACGGACGGCAGCTTTGTGCTTCTCCTCAGTTCCTTCCGCTCTTTGGCAGCGCGCTCATCAGCATCCTTCCGCGCCTCAGCCGCCCGATCATCGGCCGCTTTCTTCTCCGCCGTGCTCGCTCATCCGCATCCCTCTGCTCCTGCGCTTCCCGCTCTTCCTTTTCCTTCTTTGCCCGGGCAGCTCGCTCGTCTGCCGCCTTCTGCTCCGCTCGACCCGCTCCGCCACTCGCTGCTTCTCCGCTGCCTCACGCTGCGCCGTTTTCTCGCCTGCAGTTCGGCTGTACGCTCTGCAACAGACAAACAATTAGCATTAAAAACTAAGAGAACATAAATTTGACACAGAACCGAATCTTTAATTCACTGCACTTAGCATCATACTTTGGGCGACGCGCTCAATGGCTCTATACATGGCAATGTACAGCCGATCGCCCATGGCGGGAGCAATATGCACATTGTCTGTGTGCAGGAACTTGTCCTTATGGTCGGCGACATTCCCAAGCTCGAAGGCCGGCATGTTGATGAAATGCCAGTTGTTCCGGGCATTTTCGCCCTCCACGCAAAACTTCCGCAGGCTTTCATTGATATAGCCGATGGCGATATTGCAGTGGGGGCGGTTGATCTCGGTCTCCGGCACTTGCACCACAAAAATTGGGCTATAATAATGCTGCAGGGCGTTTTTAACAGCATTTAATTGGCTGATTATGTCGGATGCCGGCTTGTGGTGATGGGTAGTACTTAAGCGCTTCCCGTACCAGAAATTCTTCACATCGTTGGTGCCGGCGAGGAGAATGAGCTTCTTCCGACGGTCGGCAGGAGGCAGCGCGGTCCCGTAGTGGGCGCGGGCCAGCTGGATCATGTTCCACAGGACCTGGTTGAAGGTGGCCCCGGCCTCCACGTGGAATAGGGCATCGCGCTTCGCAATGGTCGGGTAGCGGCGGTATACTACGGTGGTCGAATGGCGCCAGCCCTTCCCGGACTTGATCCAGCTGTCCGTGACAAGGAGCGTACGGCGGCCCTGGGAATCGGTTCCACTACGACCTTCACCTGTCCATATTCGCCCACAACGTCAGTACTGTTGAGGCGCTTCAGCTTCGTGAATGCTTCTTCGCTCAAGAAGCGGTATTGGGATTCGTGTTCCTGAAGAGGTGGACGCGGATGGACCAGGTAATCGCAGTTTTCAGCATCTGGAATTGGGATGTGTTCGTCGTGTGTCAACAGTTCTGACTACTAATCAGCAGCTGTCCGGTAAACCGATTGTGAGTCAGTTACGCGGACTGCAGGCGGTGGCACACCGACCGATGCGCTGCTAAACCAACGGTTAGTCAGTTGCCACAACGCATCAATCGGCAACTGGTCCTGATGGAGAGGTGCAGGACAGCAGGTGGCTGGAATACGGCACGGACACGTCGCGGCAAAGAGGGCAGGAGGCGATGCTGGGATTGCTGAACCAACTGTAAAAGTCAGTTACCGCAATACCCCCGCACTACCGGAAGGAGCTGGCTTGGACAGAGACTGCGGAGCGAGGAACGGCCGGCACTGATCAGTCAGACGATTCCGGTGGAAACTGCAATAGAAAAAACACTGGTAGATACAAGTATTGGTACACGTACACGTACACCTACACCTACACCACTACTGCTCCGCAAAATATGCACAGAAAATATTCATATAAGCTTTCCTTGTTGCCAGTATACTAAAGTATTAGATAAATCAGTACTGTGACTACTTGCATAATGTGCAGAGAAAACACCTCAACCGCCTGCGGGTTGCACTGGTCTGAACACTGACTTCGCTAGTTGCGAAGTTGGTCACTACAGCCCGTGGGTGGCTGGTAGCTTGCCCGCCAAATACACGAACATACAATTCCGTTGCACTTTAGACAGCAATAAGTGGCAGCAAAGAAAGATGTCGATGATAAATTTCTGTTTTCAACACTTATTCCATTGCATTTTAATTTTTTGGGAGCAATAAAAAAAATAAATTGAAATTCATTAGAAAATAAGTTCGAACATTTTGAAATTTGGTCAATAGTCAGTCTTCCCAATGGGTCTTTCTTGATAAGCCTCTCACAAATATCTGTTGCTGTGGAATACGAAATATTTAGTTTGCGCTTTGTGCAAACTATAAATAACTATCTTTAAGGAATTTTGTTGTATTTTTTTCGATCAAAATCGGCTTATTGAGAGCGTAAAGCTATAGCAGTCTTACTGGAAATGGGTTATTATTATCATTTTCTTGTGCATTTTGGCTTGAATTTTTTCGGTTCTTCAAAATTAACAAACAGTGAAAGCACTGCATCGAATTGTATTTAATGTTGATATCCTCGGGTGGTACGGTATCATTGAATCTACCATAATATTATTGCAATTTTGTTGATGAAATATTTTAAATGCCGATATTTCCATAAATCAATTTTGGATTATGCGAATTTGAGAATTACCTAAACCTAGACTAACGGAAGTGGAGAATACAGCATAATTCACGAACCAATAACTGAAGAGGATTCTCAATAAACAGAAAGATACAGTGTGCAATTTAGTATTTTAGAAATGCACATTTACACTATGAGAACGCTGAGAAATAATTATGCGAAAGCAGACGGAGAACTTACAAGTAAACAGGCAACTCAGCGGGCTCCTCGATATGCGATGGCACTTGAAGGCAGCCGTAGTTCTCGGTAGTTTTCTCTTCGCAGCAATTCTCTGATCTCGCTCTTCCGCAATGCTCAAGCCTGATACCGTTTCGCAGTATGCCCTGTAAAAAGCAAAGAATTCGATTCGTTTCTCGATAAATATTGACGAACCCGTAGCCAGTGCACGTCGATTCATTTTACGATCAGCAGACATACAGATTGCAGCAATGGTCGAGGGCTAGATGTGCTAAAAACATAGCATTCTGCATCGTAAACAACAGCGCTAAAATGCCTGCTTACCAGTTTTTACGACTGCTTTCCCGAGTAGGAAGAATAACACGGGGTGGCTTGTGGTGTGGATGAGGATCCAGATCCTTTGCGTCGCAAGAGCACCTCCGCCTCAGATCAAATTGGCAGGCCGCGATGGACACCAGAAGCAATGGAAATTAACGGCGAACACAGAGATATTTTCCCTATAATCTCCAATACACTCCAAAAAACTAGTCAGCGATGACTAAATTAAAAAACCTCAGAAATTCACGCTGGTTCTTCGTTATGTGTTAAGCTTCAGTCACGCACGCGGAACACTGTGTGGCAAGAAGTGTGCCGTGTGCCTTGGCAACTGGGCGCAGGCAAATGCAGGTAAAGCTGTCTGCGCTGTATCTCTAACACATATACAGCGCAGTTATATGTGCGGCGCAGCCTGACCACCCGCAGGCTGGCTGACACCTGCTTCGGAGGTAGCGAAGCACGTCACTTTGGCCCGTGAGTGGTTGACGGCTTTATTAATATTTTAATTTAATATTGATTTATACAGTTGTTTATTTTAACTTTGAAAATAGTATTATTTATTATTTTATTTTATTATTTAATTCCAGGGGCAGTTGGGGGTGGCTGCTTCTGGGGGGCAGTGGATCAGGGGTGGCGCCCAATGGCGCCAGAATGATCACTTATCATCACCTGGCCCTTGAATCTAAAACTCGTCCCCAACAACACAGAGCAACGGAATCCTCTCAAGCCGTCCCAAATGGTCTTGAGCTCCAGTAGCGGGTTTTGCATTCTCGAAAGCTACAAAATACCGACAGATTCTGTGTTAAGCGTTTCAAGAACAAATTACTCGTAATAAAAATAATTGCAATTGCGCCTGCAGTAACGGGACACGGCGTTTTACAGTAATACAATCATAGTTAAGAAAAGATGAAATATGCACTTTTTTCCTTTAGACTTTTAATGGTTCGTGAACTGGTTTATCTAGATATCGTAATGTCCTGTAATTCAACTATGGATATATATTAAATAACCCACTTTGATTCCTGTCAAAGCCGGCTGCATTTGGTCATTCAGAGTGTTCCAGCCAAACTGTGTTGTGATATTACGCTTGTCCGCCAAGCAATAAGCGCCGGGAGAATTTTTTGTGTCCCCTTCCTAGAAAATACACGTAAACTTATTGAGAGTTACTTCGCTTTCGTAGACGTTCATGAGTTCTAGAAAGGGAAGGTTGCGCTGTAACAGCACCTCGGAAAAACTTATGCCACCCATTTGTGGGTTGTTCCTCCAAATGCTTCTTCCAAAAGCGGAGAACCCCACAGATCAATGCGTGCGAAGCCAAACGGAGCGGGTTGGACTATCGCCAGTGCGTCGCAGTAGTGGAAGTCTATCTCACCGTCACCGCTCATTGGGCAACCATTGGGAATGCCAATACACACAACACCGTTGTGTCCACAAACATTTTCCTTCATTACTTGTGCGTTGGCTAATAACGCAAGCAAGCCGAAACAGATCGTGGAAAGAATATACATTTTGTAATGTGGAAAATGTACCGAACGAGAAATACCGAACGAGAAATATAAAAACCAAAATAACTCATAGATCGAGTCGGGCGTATTTCGGTTTAAATATACGTAATTTTTTTGGACAGATGACCGGCTTTCGAGAGTTTCAAACGATTACTTCGAACAGCCGTAAATTTCGGATTAAAGTTAAGTATAACGTTCTTTATAGCTTATTTTATTGTCTTGTACACACATTATTTGCGCTAGACTCAATATTTTACGACTTGTTTTGTTAGTTCATCCGTTTAAGTAGGTGAGCAATTAATCAAATATATAGGTGTTTACCGGTTATAGAGTAACATAGTAACACGTCAATGCTGAACATGGTTTGGTCGTGATTTTTGCGTGATCTTCATTGGTCTGCATTGTAACTCTCTTCTTTATTTCGATTCATAATTATGACAGTGTTAACCAGACACTACTGCTACAAAATTAGGTCCAGACACTACTGCTACAAAATTAGGTCCAGACACTACTGCTACAAAATTAGGTGTTGCATTGTTGCACTTCTGTGAACCATCATATTACGTGCGATCGAATATGTTGCCGGCATGAACAGAATATGCGCAGAGCCTGCTGCAATAAGTCTCGTGAGCGATGCTGTGGGTTTTTTCATCTTATCGGTATTTTGGCGGTAACATATAAACGACGCTTGATACTGCGCCATTTCCATAGCGATGATGAAAAGCACCTAAAGAAAAAAAACGCTTCGTGGTTTGCTACCGCTCGCAGTTTGTAGAAAACCGCGAAAATAATGAGTACCGTACCTAAATTACCTATTTGACAGGGTAAGAAATTTTCTTCTCCCCAAGCCCAGTCGCACTGCAGAAAATATTCATATCTGGCACGTAATAACTGCACTCCAATATCTTATCGTTCAGTATAATGCGAAACAATTTAATTTTGCTATCAATAATTTAGCAACGTTTCGTATTTGTTTGCAGATTTCCCTGCTTAATCGCTTACTGATAAGTTACACAAAGATTTTATCTTTACAACGCCACTATTCACTTATTAAGTTTAATTTTGCGTGATGTTGTACTACGGTTGTAGAAGAAAACTGTATTATGACAGTGTCCCAGGCGACATAATAATTATTATTAAGAAGTTTAGATGCCCGTACGAACCATATGGCGCAAAACGTGCCATTTTAATGTTCCAACTGAGCTTCGTAGTCGCCTTTCCAACTTAGCAGCATTAACTTACCGTATCATGGATTCACCAACGCGGAAGTTATTGTTCAAGCCAGGTGACTTGGTTGCCGTAGCGCAACCATGGATTTACGTCTCGTTGCCAAAGTTTCTGGATACGGCTTGCTACCACTGCTTATGTACGCCTGACAAAGAATTGAAGCGATGTTCCCAGTGCCATTTTGCTCGATATTGTAGCGAAAGCTGTCAGGTCAGTTAAGTTTTGGAGAAAAATAACTAAACTAATTACTTTAAAAAAGTTTCGTTTTATTTCTACGACATGCTAGAGTAATTATAATTTCAGAAACTGGATTGGAAGCCTCGTCATAAGGACGAGTGTCCTTTGCTGCAAGAATTAACCCGGCTTAACGGTGACATCTTGAAAACTCACTGCCCTGAATTTGCATACTGGCTCTTAATAATGAAAGTGGTAGCTAAACTGAAGGTGTGTTTGCCTTCAATTTTACCCAACAAACTTCCATGATTTCTCCAAGCAAAGCGTTTTGTAGAAACGTCGCCAAGACGATCTGGAAACGTATCATAAATTCCATTCCAATCCAGAGGCCGCTGCCTTGGACCCTATTGCACAGTCGAACTTTAAAGAATGGTCTCCAGGCTTTGATTACATTGATCCGGGAGTAAAGCTTTATTTACGTCCTGCTTTGTTTTTCGATGTGTACAGCAAAGTTAAGTTCAATGCCAAAATAATTGTGGGCACCCAAAAGGACGGGTCGTGCGCTGCTGAAGGACTGGCACTGTACACACCAGGCGTTCCGGAGGCGGTTGTCGGTTGCAATCGGAATGTGGTGTATTACAGTCGAGATAATAAACTCTTTGTCAAGGCCACTAGGAATATATATCAAGGAGATAAGGTACGTGGAAAATGTGTAAAAATGAATAAGGAATATTATACCGTTAGATCATCTGAACACTATTTGTTTATACAGAATATTGCCTTGAATATACATATACATATAAATAAAGGGAAAGGTAGTGGACGGTGTACAGAGTGGTCATCTTGTATTAATCACGGGATCAAATAATTGCAGGTGGTATCTTCCATAGGGTCACCATTTACGACCCCGAAACAACGTGCTGCTACGTACGCAAAGGTTTATGCCGAATGCTCCTGTGAAGCCTGTACAGATCCGTCTAAGGAAGCTGAGCGAAACGCTTTTAAGTGCGGAACGGTTGGGTGTGCCAATGCTGTGCCGTTGGATGGGCGGTGCCGAGATCCATGCGAAGAATGCGGACGAATGAACAACGACAGAATGGAGGAAGCCAAATATTGTGTTGCTTCTATTCTCAAAAAAGCTGATTCATTTCACACCGTTCATACAATGTCTGAGAATGATGTCTCAAAACTTAGCTTGATGATCCAACACGCCGCAAAAATTCTCCATCCAACAAACTTTACCCTTGGGTTGCTGTACAAACTGGCGGTAAAAACCGTATTATCTGTCAACTTCGGCATAGATGACACAGCCTTACAATGGATCGAAAAAATGTTATTGCCAATGGAGTATGTACATCTGCATCTTTTATTACCGGAAACGTGTTTTTAAAAGGTGTATTCGCAGGTTACATACAGATGGCTACCTGGAAGAAATTGCCCAGAACCTTCACCATGTCTGTCTGCGTTATGCGGGCGCTGGTAACCGGGAAATGGTTGAAAAATATCAGCCTAAATATCGACGCATTGTGGAAACTGTATACGGAGAAGACTCAGATGAAATGAAGATTTTGCGCTTGAACGAGCTAATGACTACCTGCAATTTAAACGCGGCATTATCCCGTTGAAGGGAGGGGATTTAAATGTCCCAGACAGCAACGAAACAATTGAGACAAAAGAAGAATTGTCTACTTATTTACTGACTTGTTCGGATCATTGCAGATTTTAAGTGATTTCGTTGCCATAAACCGACTTAGGAAACACTTTATAATGAAGTTTGCAGAAGTCCATCTACAATGTAGGTACATCTGTACAATCATTCAGTATGAATAGTACACATTGCATAAGTCGATTCTGTGCGGCCCGGAAAAATTTGTCGATACAGACTGACTGAAACCAGGACAAAAAATGGGTAAGTTTAACGGGGAAGGATCTATATATAAATATGCAGCCATATGAAACAAACTGTTGCTGCTAGGTATGCGACTACGTATCAACGTATTCCCATTGCGGCTAAGCCATCGAGTCCGCGACGTATTTTGTGTATTCCGTCATATCACAAAAATCCTCCAGGGGTGCCGTGGTATTTCCACGCGGACAGTACGAGGCGAATGATCGGTCCGTGTCATGACCGGTATTCCGGGTCTTAACACGGGTGACCATATAACTGTACACCCGCCCTGAAGGTTCGGCTGTGCCCTTCGTAATAAGACCAGTGGCCATCGAGTAGAACGCCATCGTGCCTAGATCGGTGTCGTGACCTTTGACTGTAAAACTTCCTTCAAGCATCAAGGAGCAACGGAATCCTTTCAAGCCGTCCCATGAGGTCTTGAGCTCTAACATCGGATTTTCCATGATAGATAACTAAAAAATACCCAAGGAATTCTACATTTACGCATCTCCAGGAACAAACCTATGGAAATCGCCTTTATAATAACGGGGCATCGCGTTTTAATGTGATCATCATAAAAAGCAAGATCAGACCACTTTTCGTTAGCTATTTTGATTGTTTGTAAACGGGTTTGTAAGCATAATTTCTGCTGCAATTCACCACTGGGATGAAAGTCTTACTTCGGTTCCTGTCAAACCAGGCTGCATTCGGTCTGTAAGAGTGTTCCAGCCAAATTGCGTTGTAATGTTGCCTTCAGCCGCCAAACAGTAAACGCCGGGAGAATTATTTGTATCACCTTCCTAAAATTTCTTCGGAATTATCACAACATCACAGATCTAATGAATCAAAAATGGCATTATACCTCGGAAAAGCTTAAGCCAACCCATTTATGCGTTGTTCCACCCACTGCTTCTTCGAAAAGTGGAGAACCCCACAGATCAATGCGTGTCCAACCGTATGAACCGTCCTGGATTATCGCTAGTGCATCACAGTAGTGGAAGTCTATTTCACCGCCACCGCCCATTGGGCAACCATTGGGAATGCCGATACACACAACACCGTTGTGTCCACAAACATTTTCCTTCATGACTTGCGCGCTGGCTAGTAGCGCAAGTAAGCCGAAAAAGATCGCGAAAAAAACATGCATTTTGTAACAGAGAAACTCTAGCCGAAAAGCAAGAATTTGAAATAACTCACCACCGAGTGAAGCGCATGTTTGCGTTAAATATTTGTTCACTGATTAGATGACCGACAGTCGACAGTTCCAATGATTACTTCGTGCAACCATAAACTTCGGACTAATGTTTACGGTTCTTAGTTTTTTATTGTTTGTACACGTTATGTGCGTTATAAGATCTGATGGTTTATGGTTTGTCTTCCTAGCTCACTCGTATGCACACGTTAATAAAGTACTAGAAGTACATGCATTGTTTACCGGCTCTAACAGTTACACCGGCATGGATTGTCCGTGATTTTTGCGTGATCGTGTTCGATCTTGCAGCACCAGTGAAATCTTCGTTCTACAGAAGTACGGCTGGACGTGTTGCTGGCATGTTCAGAGTATGCTGTCTGCTATCATAACAAAATTAATGCTATGCACATACGATGCTGTGGTTCTTTCCATCATGTTTTGATGGTAACTTCCAGACTACACATAATACAGAATACTGCACCCGCTTCGTTCTTAATCATGATAAAAATACTCAAAAAGAACTACTTCGTGCATTGCTACCGATTTGCAGTCTCATATAGAAATTTTGGTACAATTAACGTACAGTTAATGTTGACTTGATACAATTAATGTTGCACTTTAAACTGCTGCACTTTAGAACCGTAATTCCCATTTTTTGGACAAATTAGTGCCAGAAGTTGCTGGCGAAGACTCAAGGTGTATTCCATGAATGCGCATTTACTGACCTTTCTGTTGAAGTGAAGTTATTTCTATTCTAAGTTTGCAACTAGACCGTGCCTATACCTGAAACGTTACGCTAAACAGAAGCCGTTTCGGTGCCCCGATTAATATTTAACTGTCAGATCCTGATACAGACTGGAAAATCGACCTACGCAGTTACCCATGTTTTTGTATACTTCGGCAAGCGTATTATTGGCAACACGCATGGAAAATGGAAAAATTAGCGAACCATTTGCTCGTTTGCCAAGTAATAGATTTAGTGCTGCAACTCAATACGAATGATACGTATTTTGAAAAGAATTTAGTCAGTACTGAATCGAGAAAGTTCCTGTGAGAGAGTCGGAAAACCATTTGAGAGTTTTGGAATCCGGAAAGCAGAGCGTAACAGCTGAGTGGTCAACACTCTGCACAGTGACGACCGCATCATGCTGGTAAATCAGTTTCCAATGGGCTTTCGGAAGCAAGTCTGTTTGCAGTTCATCGTCGAAATAGTGTTTACCTTCGCTGGGCCTCACGATCATAAGACTGCGCTGCTCTGTATAAACCGTCACGATGCTGGGATAAAAGTCGGCGTTCTGGACGGATGCGGTTGTGGGACCGCTCAGCGGCCGTGACACTAGTGCGACGAAAGCGGCGGTCTGTTCGCCGACGTTAGTTGCGATGGGATCAACTGCGAAGAATAATAGAAAGTAGACCTCATAGACTACTATATAATTATATAATACAGATACATGTTAAATCAGAGTATAGTTTCAGCGGGCATCGCGGTCGTTGTTCGCACTGAGTCGCACAACTTAGAACTTAAAGCGCATCTCTGTGTACGGGAAAATGTGTGGCAGCGTTCTGTACTGCCCGTTTACATAAAGACACTAAGAATTCTATAAAGTTCGAAACGAGACTACAAGACTAAAGGATTACCAATTGCGAAGCAGTTAGTGAAAACACGAAACTTTTCATACCTTGTTTATCGCGAGGAAACAGCTGCAACATCTCGCTGTAACGGTTATCGTATTCGTCCCTGATGTGTTGGCGGTCGTCCCGCCTGCCGGGCAGAAACGTCAGCACACCGCGCACCGCTCGTCGAGATGTATTGTGCCAACTGACCAATCGTAGGCAGTAGCGAGCATCCGGAATCCGCTCCCAGAAGATCTCTAAGCGGTGCCCAATGATCTCGTGTAGAAAAACTCTGGATTTCTGTCCGGCATCTTGCTGCAGCTGTACGCAGTGAACCTTGCTGCCGTTTACGACTGCCGTGGAAAATACAAGCAGGAAATTAGGTGAACGGACGGTTTTCTGCAGGAATCCCATGCACAATTCGCCCCGAAAAGCTACCGGCGGCAAATGGCTGCTCAGACTGGTTATCTCTAGAGATTGTGTAGAGTGACCATTTTCTAGATGGTTAACTACTTTAACTACTTCATCCATATCCAGTAAGGATCCGATCTGCAGTCGATGGACTAACTGCACCATGTCTGGATCCCCTTGAGAAACACGGCTGTCCAGATAAGCGGCCACCGCTGCGCCAAAGGTCTCCGCATCGTCCACATAGCTCACTATGCGTTTGTCTAACGGTTTCTGCTGCAACGTCTTCAAAATGCCGCGTAATGGGACAAAACGGGAATTCTCGCCTACCAGCAGGATATCGATCGGCCCGGCGATGCAAGAGCCCGTGTCCAGCATACCTAAGCGCGCTAACTGCAACAAAAGCCGATTGCGAATATAGTCGACAATCGGCATAACAATCTCTTCGTACTGATGCCGTGTGATAAGGACCTCATAACTATGGTACGGTGCCTTTACGGTAACGGACTGCGTGTTCTCTTCGTTGAATTCTTTCCACTGTCGCTCACATTCTTTTTCCAGTTCAATTCCGCCAGTCAACTTCCAGCTCCGGCATACCGGCTTGCTGTAGCCCCTCCATGACCTTTTCCAGCAGACGATCCCGCATCTTACTGAAGACATTCAGAAGCGACGCATTAGCTAAGTGTGCCAGATAGTTCGTGCGCACCACCTCGAAGGTGTCGGTGTGAATGTCGTTGTAGGTGGCGTTATAGACCAGGAAGTGCGCTTTGGATTTATCGGGTCGCAGTGGTATGCGCCGATCCAGTGTCAAGGTCGCATAGGCCAGCAACACAGCGGTGGCTTCGCTGACTAGCAGGAGCGATTTAATGTCGCTGTGCTGGCAAGCGTCCTGGAGCACTTTCGGCATCGTAGTATGCTCCAGCACAACTTCCGGCAGAACCAGACACATTCCTGTTACACTGGGGACCCCGCTAGCGGCGGCCACCTGCTTGACATAGAGCAGGAATCTCTCTAAAAGTGCAGATAGGAGTAGTGGAACCGATTGCTTTGCTGCCGTATCCAAGAGGGTGTTTTAAGGGAACGGAGATGTTCAAAGGTGGGCTCGTTGCGGTAGCTGCGCGCTTCTAGGCCAAAGTACCACTCGGTCTGGTCTTCCCGATACGAGACAATTGCCGGAAAGGACGCTACAACCCGCGGGACTCCCTGCTGAAATGTGCTGACAGAAACGGTTTTATATCCAGTTTCCAGTCCAATGTTCATGATTTAAATGGATGGTGTCGGCACGGTCTAAACACTACGTTATTGGCGGTTAAAAATCACATGAACTGATATTGAAAGTAATGATTTAAAGTAATAAATCGCTGCTTACCTGAAGAAAACGGAAACTGAGATACAAAAGAGGTATATAGAAATTGGTAACAATTTAGCAGAGAACTGCAATACTTTTAAACGGGACTCATAACGGTAGAGGTGAACTAACCGAGTACAGTACTAATATCAAAAATTAGTGGCAGCCATGAACCGCCTTCTAAAGTACTTATGGATGGTAACATGCTCGATGAATGCACTGTGACATCAATAATTTAAAGTTAGGCTGCGCTGCAACATGTTTAATTATGCACTACTTGTATCGCTTACCGGCATTTTAAAGTTTTACAGTGTATAACGTACGCTGGTGTGTTCGTAGTTGTTCAGTGTTTGACGTCTATAAGAGTCAGTAAGACGATTTTCCGGTAGTAATGCTTCTCGCTTGAAGGTATCAAATGCCGGTACAAAGAGAACCTTCGCGTATACGGATAAACGGACCGTTTTTCACTTGTACCGATCACAAATTATTGCTGTAAAACTGAACTCACGCGACGAGATATAATACGTCTTTTGAAACGGAAATCCGGCCGAAGGAGATGCATAACCGCATTCCAGTAGTACTACTCGAAACGCACTTTAAATGCGTTCTGTAAGATACAGAGCCGGGAGTTCTGTAAAAGTGAATCTACCAATGGTACAGCGCTGAATCTTATAGAGCGTTGAAGAGCAACGAGACCATGGTTTCTAAAAGCGCCCAGTTACCGTGGTTGAATTGGTCAACAATTTATTTATTTCTAACAACAATTTTGTGGCCGTTTCCTTTCTCTTTTTCTGGCGATTTTAAGTTGTGTTAAGTTAAGAAATCCAACGACTGCTGAAAAAGCGAAAGGCAATTCCACGTAAAGTACGCCGAGGTATTCCTCGCGCTGACGGCTATGGCGAAGTTGCCTGTTGCCACCGCTACAAATTCAAACGTGCACAGTCGGAGGCAGCTAAAATCAGTGAACAAAGCAGAACTGGAATATGTTGATTTGATAGAAACAATTAAACTCTCGTTAATTACACCCTCAAAACTTGAAAATTAAAAATAGGACTTTAGACGTACAGCGGACTGTGCATACACATCAAAAAATAAATCTGACGTAGCTAGAAATGCGAGTTTTGTATCGTAACGGAGCCAGGAGAGTTCCTTTTAGATACAGAACACTTTTACTCGTTCGTCCAATCAGTTTTTTTCGAAAGGGGCTGGCATCAAAAACCACATGAAGGCCTGCAAGTCCCGCTCATCTGGTCTTCCCGTCCCAACTGCATCCTCCAGTAACGCCGCCGGAGCTGCACCGACTCCGCCCCCGTCGGACAAGCCCTTCAAGCCGTCGAGTGATCGTGTTATGCGGCGTATACCACACGGTGCACGGCCTGCCACCAGAACGTCGTTCCAGAAGGTTCTCCAGCGGGTCGCCACAAAGAACGACAAATCCAGCTGGCTAAAGCTGCTCTCCTTCGCCCCATCTACGCTTCGTGTCCCGCCGAAGGCAAAGTCTGAGCAAGCGAGTCGCTGGTGTCTGTGATAAAGAGAAACCTGGAGTTGTACGACCAAGATGCCGAACTTTCCCTACCCCACCCCTGGCGCCACTAAGAAACGGCCTGATAGTGAAGACCTGGTTCGAAGAGTTGGTCAAAGATTGATGACGGCTGCATCTCGGGGCCATGCGTCTCATCTTGTCGACGGATGCCATCGCTCCCCTTCTCCTGATGTGCTGCAAGAGTTAAGGGAGAAACATCCGGAATGCCCACCCCCGCCATTACCGCCTCAGCTCAGTCCGCCTCCAGATGCAGCGCCACCTATTACTGCGGCCGAGGTTTTTGCTGCCGTACACTCATTTCCACGGGGATCGGCAGCGGGACCAGATTCCTTGCGGCCACAGCACCTGCTCGACATGGTTGGCCACAAACTGGATGACCACTCCAGGCCACTCTGTGAAGTACTAGCCGCTGTACTAAACCTAGTTATCGATGGAACTTTACCTGACGATGTCCGTCCTAATTTCTTCGGTGGAAAGCTGCTCGCTTTACGAAAGAAGGATGGAGGCCTGCGCCCGATTGCGATTGGACTAACGCTGCGCAGGTTGACAGCCAAAATCATCTGTTCCAGAGTGGCCGATCGTGTAACAGCCATTCTATCGCCACAGCAACTCGGCTTCAATGTTCGCGGCGGGGCAGAAGCCATTGTACACGCGACCAGAGTTTTTATGGAATCATGCACAGCTGAACCTACGGTAATTCTGAAAGTGGACTTCAGAAACGCCTTCAATACGGTATCTAGGAGGCCGTGCTCAGCGCTGGGAGTTACACCTCCCCGAATACAGTAAGTTTCTTCAATCAGCATACGGACACCACTCGTCGCTTTTCCTAGAAGATTTTCTCCTGTCGTCGGAGTCGGGCGTACAGCAAGGAGATCCATTGGGCCCACTATTATTTTGCCTTGCTTTACTCCCGGTTGTGACCGATCTCAAGGCAGAGCTGAACGCTTGGTTTTGGACGACGGAACCATGGGCGGTAAGCCAGCGACAGTGGCCCGAGCCTTTGACGAAGTGATAGAACGTGCGCAGGCTATTGGTTTGGCTGTCAACGAGGCGAAATGTGAACTTTTGTCGATGGGGAACGGTGGAACAGCAGAACGAAGTCGTGGAATATTTTGTTGAAAGATATCCAAAACTGCGGATTTTAACTAGGTCATCATTTTCATTACTCGGCGCGCCAGTCTTGGATGATGCTATCGGCCCAGCAATTGTTGAGAAATCCACCCTGTTGAAGTCGGCATGCGAGCGACTGCAGCTGCTACCTGCCCATGTCGCGTTGTTCCTGTTGAAGAATTGCCTTGGTGTCCCTAAGATCGTGTACATGTTACGGTGCTGTAACGCGTGGAAGCAACCACAACAGCTCTACCAGCTTGACGAAGTGACGCGCGAGTGTTTTCAGACCTTGTGTAATGTGCGGACCAACAAAAATGATTATCCGTGTTGGCGGCAGGCGTCTCTTCCCGTGAGCAGAGGTGGTATCGGCATTCGTCGAGCGGAAGAATTAGCTCTCCCAGCCTACTTGGCTTCGATTCACTCCGCATCTGCACTAATGTCGTTACTTCTTCCCAATCACGCTGTAGTGGACGCTACTGATGCACGGGAACAGTGGAAAGTGATGAGTGGTCAGACAGATCCCCCCCGAACTCAACTTCCAAAAAGTCTCAGAGATCATGGGACCTACCGCTCTGCAATGCGTCACTGTCAACATTGCTGGACGTTTTTCGTGACGATGAAATTAACAGAGCTCGTCTCCTTGCTCAATCTAAACCGGAAGCCGGCATCTGGTTAAATGCGCTGCCTTCGGCACACATTGGAAACCTCCTCGATGACGATACATTAAAGATTTCAGTTGGTCTAAGGCTGGGCGCAGTAATCTGTGAAGCACACTCATGTGCAAAATGCCGCAAACCAGTCGACGTTTATGGTCACCACGGACTGTCATGCTCCTTCTCTGCAGGTAGACACGCTCGCCATGGCGGGCTAAACAGTATTGTCTGCCGATCATTAGTTTCGGCGGGCATCCCAGCGAAGCTCGAGCCCGCGGCACATCCCACACGTCCGATCGTCGCCCGGACGGGTGCACGACGTTCGCCTGGAAACGTGGCATGTGTTTAGCCTGGGACGTCACTTGCGTCGACACTGTTGCCCCATCGCATATCAAGTCCACTTCGGCATCCGCGGGATCCGCCGCTGCCCAAGCCGAAGACAGGAAGACCAGTCTGTACGCGTACCTCGATGGTAGATACATTTTCGCGCCGTTAGCCTTCGAAACACTCGGACCATGGGGCAAGTCGGCATCCGCTCTAGTGAAGGAAATCGGCAAGCGACTGCAGCAGCACACTGGTGAACCTCGATCACATGAATTTCTACGCCAGCGTCTGTCTATCGAAATTCAACGGGGAAATGCGGTGTCCGTTTTTGGAACTATGGATGTAACGGACAACTTAAGAGAAATTTTTCTGTTATAATTATTCTTGGTTTATTAACAAAATTTGCAGTGTGACTGGCTTGTGCTAATAAAGACACATCAGCGGTAAGGGGGTGTGATCGAAACGTCACAGAACTTCCGGCTCTGTATCATACAGAACGCATTTAAAGTGCCTTTCGAGTCTAGTTATTGTCTATTGTCTAAACTGCTGTTCGAGGTTCACACATTGTGGTCAAGATCACATTTGACATTCATACTATTGCCGCAGACTTATGACTCGACAGTACCGCATTAAATCGGCGTATACACATCAAAAAGTATCGCCTTTTAATCACGCTTGCACGTCACTGGGGTAGACTGTCAGGTTCAGTGCTGACAAGCTGCAAAATACGCGCTCGTCGGACATCCGGCTTTTATGTGCGGTAACCATATTATATAGCATTTCCCGTGTGCGGCACATTTTCCTGAGCCTTACTGTTGTCATAGGAAGCGTGTTCCGTTAATTTAAATTTGCAGTTGCGTTTAAAGTTTAGATTAATCATGCCACTTTTAAAAAGCGGCATGACCCACCGCAACGGAAAATATCGGATCCCGATTCCGGCAGCGGTATCGGTCCCGTGGAGGATCACATTATGGACAGCAAGGACGGTAAGGACGGAGTGGGCATTGACCTGGGCACCACACACTGCTGTCTGTACGTATACAAACACGGCCGCAGTCCGCAGTTGCTGAAGAATCTGGTCGGGGAGACCACCACGCCCAGCTGGGTGTGCTATGAAAAGGGCGGAAATAATGTGGGCCATTCGGCCAAAACGCAGAGCCCGCAGAATCCTAAGAACACCATCCGCAATGCCAAGCGGCTCATTGGGCGCGGTTTCGATGATTGTGCCGTGCAGAACGAGGTGGCCCGGGTTCCGTTTAAAGTAATAAACCAAAACGAAATCCCGATGATTCCGGTATCTAAGCGGCATTTAAACATATGAGACGCTCGATCTCTTGCTAACACTGCTACTTCTGGCAGTTGCTCCAGCGAAGCGAAGTGAAAGGTATTCTTAAGCTTTTTGTTAAGCAACATAAAAGTTCGCCGGTCTAACGTACAATATTGCGTCGCTCAATGTGCGATTCCTGTACCTGGCAGTGCATAATTATGTGTAATTCTACCGAGCGAGCCGGCGCTTGCGGTTTTTTCTAAGGCGTAGCGGAAGGCCGATGATACAGCAATGGTGCTCGGGTGGAACGGACATTTTGTTGCCCATATCCTTATCCAATGCGTATAATTTAGAACTTCTTTACTTTTTGTTTATATTAAATAGATCGAAAATTAAAATTGTAACGTATTGTAGGATCGTTTCGCTCAGTTAAAAAATTAATATGATTGTGTTGCAGGTTGAGCAGCAGAACGCGGCAAGGGAGACCACATGGAGTGCCACGATGGCGCCGGAGGAAGTCAGTGCAACACTGCTCAAATATATGAAGGAAATCGCTGAGAACTTTCTGGGCGCGGTCTCATCCGCGGTAGTGACCATCCCGGCCAATTTCATGGAGAGTCAACGAGCGGCTACCATAAAAGCGGCGAAAATTGCCGGCTTTACCGAGGTAACGCTCCTCAGCGAGCCCACGGCCGCGGCCACTGCCTACAGCCACGTTGTGGACGAGCGCTGCACTATCCTGGTGTTTGATTTCGGCGGCGGCACCCTGGATATCGCTATCATGGACGTGCAGGGTCGCAACCAATACCGGGTGCTGACCACGGACGGGGACATGTATTTCGGTGGGGAGGCCTTTGACGATGCCATCGTGCAGTACTTTCTCCAGGATATCAAATCCAAACACGGCGTTAATCTGAAAGATGACACCCGCGCCAAAGCCGTTCTCAAACTGAAAGCCGAAGAAGCCAAGATCCATTTATCCTATCCGTACCATAATTTTTACAAGGAGACCGTTTACGGTCTACCTGATGCTTTGAAATACGAAGCCGTTCTAAATCGGGACACCTTCAGCGGGATGTTCGACCGGTTGCTGAAAAAGATGCTAGAACCGGTTAAAAGAGCTCTGCAGTCTGCCGGGAAAACCGCCGAGGAGATCGACAAGGTCATTCTTGTCGGGGGCAGCACGAAATTGCCAGCGGTACAGGAAGCGTTGCGGAAGTTTTTTCGGGCGGACATTGTCGCGGCAGACGCCACCCCCGATGAGGTGATTGCGCGGGGCGCCGCCATGCATTGCTACCGTGTCAATAACCACCTCCCGGCCAATGTCACCGAGGTCACGGCGTTTCATTACAGGCTGAAATTGTACCACGGGGACGTGTCGGAATTGATCCCGCGCGGCACCGAATTCCCGTATAAATTCAAAAAAGTCTACCGCACCGCATATGATAATCATGTCGAGGTGGTTTTCGACGTCTTCCAGAGTAAGCACGGATTCACCGCTGATAAGTTCCAGATTGGACATTTTAAAATCAAAGATCTCCCTGCACGGAAACAAGGGGAATGCGCGTTTGATGTCACGTATGAGATCGATCGCAATAACATTCTGCATGCCACGGCGCAAGGCCAGTTCGATTTGGCGAATTACAAGCGGAGCGTCGATATTAGTCTGGCCAACATGGCGTAGACGGTGGCAACTGTAACAATTTCTACTAGAGCAACACCGAACCATGTGTAATCAACAAACAATTTTATGTTTTCATAATGTCGCATTTCAAAATAATATAATTCAGCGTGCGTGTATCGAGCACACGGTAACGACTACTCATGGAATTCCATCGCATATTTTTGTACGTCGAAAGCTGTAATAAATGTGGTCCACCGGCTGAGGAATACAAAAAAATTGATAATGTTCATGTGATCGTTTAAGTTCCTATTCACAGCGACAAACGTTAAGTGAAAGTGATCGTTGGACTGAAATAACGATGTTATAGAAAAAACAAGCACTGGTCACTACATAAAAATGTGTTAAAGGAAAAGCAGAACATGTGTCGACGCAGCTTTGTTTGATTCTTCTCTCTTTTTTCACAAAATGCGGTTCAATGTGAAACGTGGCGTTAGCTGTTAAGAGGTCATAACTATTATGTTTAGAAAAACCGTCGGTTGCATGAGTTCTAATGCACTGTTGCCGGTTTGCTGATGTCGAAAGTGAACGTTGATACAAATTCAAACGTATAACATAGTGAGCCCACAGAAAACTGCATGCTGCATAACAATAGAATATCGCGCGGTGAGAAAACATTGCATTTGTTTCTTCAGGCTAAATCAACGCATAGCAATAACGCCCCGTGTAATAATTTGTATCAACGAACCGTGTGCAGCTAAAAATATGAGTGTAACCTCACTGTGACTAAGACTCTCAATTTGGTCGCTCGCCGTGAGTGAAGTCTTTTCACAGAGCAGAGCCTGTGCCGTTAAAATTTCCATTTAGCTGATTTTGCGATGATATAGCGACTGTTTGTCTGAGTAACTTCCGGTACATTGCTAGTCATCATCGATGCGTTTTTTTTCTCGAAATGACGCGACTTTGACCGGCTGTGACTATCATTCAAAAACGACAGCCACTCAAGCAACAAAAAAGGCACATTTCGTCCGTTCGTCGTAACGCTACTTTTTACCGATTTTAGAAAGGTATTGAGCTTACGTGATAAACAAGTTATTAAATAACTAACGATCGCGTTCAGTGTACCCGTTTTAAAGGATGGACGATCTTATACCGATTCATTTTCCATTTCTGGATCCCTTGCGGAATTTAGCGGCTAGCGAGGCTTTAAAGGTTGCGGTGAGGACCATCAATACCGTGCTAGATAAGCTGCATCCTTCCTCCACACCGGAACGCAGTGCCCTGCTGCGCTACTGGGTGGATTTCAACGATAAAGACACGCTGCTGGCCATTCAGCACGCCCTGGCCGACGCCGTCATCGTCCCCAACCAGACCATTACCTCGCAGATGTCCCGCTTGGAAGCCCTGATCTGCTACAGCACCACGGACCAGCAGATTGGGCGGGTCTACCATTACTGGGAAACCTTGATTCAGGCCACGCCCAATACCGAGCACTGGCATCAGCGGGAGTTTCTAGAGGAGTGCCAGCGCTGTGATCCCAAGGGCCTGCTGGTGACCCTGTACCATGGGGTCCGCGTGGAGTACCCGGTGAATGCGCTCTTGCCGAGTATTATGCAGAGCTGCGCGGATTATCGGGCGTATGAAGTGTGGTGCGACCATATCGCCATGAACGCGTTTCGGGCGTACTTGTGCGCCGTCACGAAACTGATGCATCGGCATCAGCAAGACGAGGGCGTGTCCAGTGCGCTGGTCGACACGGAGGTATGGACGATGCTGCGGCAGGTGGAAGATATCTGGATCGCTCTGGAACGGTCGAAGACAGTGTGTCAGGAGAAGATTTTCATGATGAAGGAAAACGACCCCGCGTCGCCGCTCAATAAACTGATCGAAAGTGCTATGTTGGCGGCAGATGATAAAATGCACGATGACAACGGTTTGTGTGCACAGCAGCTGGCCCGAGATTTAGAGCAAAGGTACAAAGTAAACTGTTGAATTGACAGAAAGCGTTGGACTCAAGGTCTTCAGTTCCTTCGGCTATTCTCCTATTATTTTGTATTGCATGCAGAACCTCTCCCTCTTTACTATTGCACTGCAAATTTACATACATATTTTGTCTGTAAATCTTCCATATACAGGATTTACAGTTTTCCCGAAGCATATGAATAAGCGAAGCATATGGGAAGTGACCCGGTACAGTACCAAACTCTTCTACATGCATGTACTGTAAACTTTCACTTTTGCGCAGTCCCAAACACTTTTTGGTTTTTTAGTATAACATGAAACAATGTAGAAAACTACTTGGTAGTGCGCGAAAACCACAGTTCCCGTGTATGTGTGTACTAGAAGCACAGGAATCTCGTACCGGCTGTAGGTTATAGAGTTGCAGATTAGTATATTTTAGCTCTACCGCAACTTTACCGCAAATTTAATTTCGCTGATCGACCCTTCAGCAAATCAGAAAGTTTACACCTTTGTTCGCGGTTTTATTCGACCAATTCAGCCATGCTCTTGAAACTATTAATTTTACGTTCAACATTTCGAAGAAAACAGATAATCTGAACTGGTTGCTGAAATTTTATAGATTTCCGTGTTATAAATGGGCGGTCATCATGTCCGAGGAAGGTGGACGCAAGAACTTTCTGCATTACACGACCAGTTTCCCGCATGAGCTGTTTGTGCAGAAATCATCACTTTCTCACATGGTACCTGGAGATCTCCCGGTGGCGGTTAAGCAGCTTCTACCGCTCCTTTCTGGTAACCGATTCGGTCTGATCACCTGCCAGAAGCGCTATCGCATCGCTAGTCTCAATGCACGAGAGCGCCGACTAACCGTGATGTGGGCACGGGAAGCGGACATTGTCACGCTCGATCAAAATGCTAGCTTTAATCGGTTTGTAACCGACGTGGATATTGGTCGGCTCGCCAGGGAAACCAAACGTCTCAAGGGTGGGAAGCCGGCAGAAGAGAAGGGCTTTGTCCGGCCGCTGCTGCAGGAGCTTGAGAGCCGAGAAATGCAGCTGGTGGCGTACTACGGCATCTGCAACCGGGAGCCGGTTAGCCGTGTCGGTGTGCGCCTTACCTATAGTAGCGGGTCGTCGTGGCCGCATTACGTGAGCAATAAAACCGGGCATCTGTTTCTGTGGGTCAAAAACAGTACGTTCATGTGATTGGAATTGTCAATAACCACCGCCAGTATATGCCTTTTAGTCATTTTCTACAGAAAAACCTACTCCGGAGCTTAAATATCCAGAGCGATTAAAGCGATTTTTCTCGGTCACCAGGCATCCTTTAAATAGGGTAAGGATTAAGTGCAAAAGTTTAGCAATGCGCAGGGCCGTCACAAAGGAGGGGGGGCGGTCCGCCCCCCTGTTTTCGATTTTTGACCGCCGGGGGGCGGACTGGAAAACGTGGCTGCAGGTGAGCGGCCAGGGGGGCGGAATAAATTTCAATTTTTTTCGGATCTTTTTAATTTTTTAAAAAAGTTTTCATAAAAATTTTTAATTAAATTTTTCAAAAATTTCATTCCGTCCCCCCGGCGGGCTGTCCAAAATCAGTCCACCCCCCGGCGAATTTTGCGCGCTCGACAGCCCCCCGGCGGCCTTCCGCCCCCCCATCCAAAAATTCCTTGTGCCGGGCCTGGCAAAGCGTAACAGCAAAGTGCTTGTTAAGGAAAAGGGAATTCGAAATCTGTTCTATCAAAACTTAGGCTTGAGTGGGAGAATATTAGCTGAATTAAAAATTATAACAAATTTGCGATTGTCCTAATTTTCCTTAATAGGGTCACAAGAAAGGAAACTTGCAATTAGAATCTTCTGTAACAGACGAACGCGAGTCGCCTGAACCGATTGTTTCCAGCGATGTTTCCTGCTGTGGTTGCCAGGCTGAAGCAATCACAAACCTTCGCTTCAGTTGTTTGATGTGTCGTGAATATGATCTGTGCAGCACGTGCATGGCACAAGGACTTCATTCTGAACACGAGTTCATGGCTATGCGGAATGGTCGATTAGGCGGATCAGTGGTAAGGACGAATGCATAGCCTCCTAATTAAGTAAGCAGTACTTCGTAGGTCGTAGCGAATCCTCAAGCACCAAATTAAATTCTTTAGCGTACAGCCTTACAGACTCGTACAAATTACAGTTATGCGGTTCTTCTTATCACAGATGCGAAAAATTTATCGAACGTTCCCGGAAATATTGGAGTCATCTAAGGAGGACGAATGGCTTCACACCGCGGCTCACGGTAACCTGCGTTGCGATGAGTGCGGTGTACATCCGATAAGTGGCTACCGCTGTGTTTGTCTGGCGTGCCTCGATGATTTATGCATAACGTGTTTAATCAATGGCCGCCATGCCGAGCATAATTTCCTGGTGGTCAACGCACCTCATAGAAAAACAAGCAGTGTGAGTATATTCTTGAACAATTCAAAAAAGTATGCATGAGATTTTGATAGTACTCTTCAACTGCAGATTAGCAAATTGCGAAGTTATTACAGTAAAATCCCTCTACTACATACACCCTCCGTTCCTAGCTCTCTGAATGTTGTAAAGAGGTGTATGTTACACAGGGGCACTGCCCCTGGGGGTGGTCAATGACTCACCCCCAGGGGGCTGGCCATATATTGGTCAATAGCAACTAAGCACGGTGCCGCTAATGTTTTGCTTACAAATTTATGTTAATCCTCCAAAAAATGGCTCTGCAGCGCTTTGTTTTGCATGCCTCTTCAAAAGCTGTGTTACTGGCAGTTCATTCTACAGAATAAACCGGTAACCATTAATTTTCAATGCCTTTTTGCTGCTTTTACTGTCAGATCTGGTACTGGACAGATCTGAAACAGAAACCGGAACTTTCTTTGAAAATTTTCTGCGCTTATTCAGCCAGCTGTATGTAACGCAGGGGTTGACTGTATGTTAAATACTGTAGGCGGTTCCACGAAAGGTGTATGTTATACTTATAGAGGGGTGAATGTTATATAGAGAACCGCCCCTATGTTATAATCCACCGAAGAGTTCGGTTCCCAGCCGCACGTATGTAATAAAGAGGTGAATGTTGTGTAAGGGTGTATGTAACGAGGGGTTTTACTGTATGCGGACTTCCTACAAAGTCCGTCTCATCAACTGCGGAAAGACGAAATACAGTTACCACAAGTTATGACTGTTCCACCAACTGAAGCGTTACCTGCTTCTCAACATGTGAACAACAAATTACAGTCTAACATTCATCCGGAGCAGCGTCCCATGGATGTGATCAAATCTTATTTGGAATGCAGCGTCTGCTCAAAAAAACTGACCACTGGGTTGCGTTTTTGCTGTCTCACTTGCGTGAACTTTAATTTGTGCGGATCATGCATGGCCCAACAACACCATCCAGAACATGATTTTCTCGTCCTGCAGCAGTCGGATGAACCGACTGCAGGAGTACGTTGTCACCGGTTCCGAAAGCTGCTACTAATACCCACGAGTTTACTCATGGGTTGCTTTTCTGCAGATCTCGGAATTACGAGAAGCCCACGCAGCCGGACTGGAAAGGTCAAAAGACCCGGAATGGTTAGCTAGCGAATCACATGGCTGCATTGGTTGCGACAGCTGCGGTACGCAGCCGATTACCGGCACTCGTTTCAAATGCCTTTCGTCGGCATGCAATGCAGATTTATGCACGTCCTGCATGGCACAAGGACACCATCCCGAACATGATATGTTAGCGATTCGAAAACCGCACAGAAGGACGTCGTTGGTAAGTGTAAGAACAACGTTGTCTTTGGTTGCGTGCATATTTGTGTGCGGTCGCAGTTGGCAAGTGTAACATGGGAAAAAATCTTCCGGCAGAATATGGCGGACGATTTCAGATTTTCTTTTTGCAGATATTCCTGTGGCAGCTGAAATACCTTAATGGACTGGAATAAAATACGTTGCCTACAATTCTTTTAATAAACACTACTTTAACGCTTTTGTTATCACATCTATTTAGTAAATATGTTGTTAGCTGTTAAAATTAAACCATCATTATCCGGAGGACCACCCAAACTTTAAACTGCTTCTAAACACAACTTCGAATAACCAGAAAAATAAAGTATTTGGCAGATTTGTTTGTAGTATGTGCCGCTTTGGAAATGTAAGCTAAGACACAAAATTTGTCGAGGGGTGCCCTGGACGGAAACATGACCGAATGCGAATATTGCACCGTTCTACTTTTACTGACAAACGGCGCACTTGAGTGGACGTAGCATAAAACTGATACTACAAGTATGAGGCTATAGCAGTATGTAACAAGGAAAATATCATTCGGTGAATTATGAACCATGCCTATGCAGTTGTTACAAAAATATGCCGGTGCAGCATAAACAGATAAACATCTTTCCAAATAGAGCCTGCTCTACTTCTCTACAGCAAACAAGAGTATTTTTGTTATATCATAAAATGCGTACTTACTGCTGATCATCAGACTGGTATAAGATAGCACGTGCGTGAGCGAATTTAATTCTTCCGGTACAGGTTTCACGGTTTCCTATGCGCTACCTAAAGGACGGTGGCGCGATCGAGTACTTAGTATGTGAAACACCGCGCAACACAAAGCTACGGTTTTATTTTGAAATAGAAAGCAATTTTTCATCGTGACCAAGCAGCTGTTTAGTTTTTCTGTTGTATTAGAATTATTAGAATTATTAGAATTATTAGAATTTTCAATATGGATTTTAAATTCAAAGTAGTACAAAGGCCACCAAAAAGGTACATCAGCATCATGTTTTGGTATCAGAGGGAACCCGACCCAAGAATCAGCGGACTAGCAGAAAACAGCAAGACGTACTAAATGGCCTACTCACGAAGATTCGTCCAGACGGTTACCGGAAATATGTTGAGGTGGCGCTTAGAAAAGGCGCCACCATCGTCGATGAGTACCATGGATCAGTCCCATCGGACTGCACCACCAAACCCCGGATTATTGGGAAAACCCGGTGCTGAACTTAGCATATCAGATTGAAAAGACTACTACCGCCGGAGTACAAATTTCCATTCATCCAATGTCAGCCATGACGGAAGTGATGATAGGACCGGTGAACCGTGAAACCAAAAATCTACGATGGAATATTTGGATTTAGGTTAGTGATCACAGCCACTACTCGTAAAAGCTAGTGCGGACAAAAGCGTGATTTAGATAGGTATCTGAAAAGCTGCGAACGAGATTTTTCCTTTTATTCTAACCTAAAACAAGTAGAAGCCACTTGTTATGCATTTAACATGGTAATACTATATTTAATACTCAATACCCCGGAAATTGTCGGTACTGCTGATAGGAGGTCACGCTGCTCGGTCACTGTGAAATCCTCGCTTTAGGCGCGGAAATTTTAAATCTCATCCGTACTTGTAAAAACTGTAACATTTAAATATACTTCAGTAAAAACAAACATTTGGGTAGCACAAATGCACCGTGGAATACATTGAAAACGGGCTATTTCGGCGACAGGAAATATGATTTTCTTGGGATGCCGTACATTGAACGCAGGCTCCATGACGCTGTTGCATGCGCAATGCGCTTACGTCATGGATTAGATGGTATTTAGTCGCCTCTAATTTGAGACACTATAAACCAACTAGTCAAGGATATGATCCGGCAGAAAGGTGGACGGCTCATCCACCAATCTGCCGACCTTCGGCAGATTGGTGGATGCGATTTGATTCAACATCCACCATCCACCCGTCCCCCTTTCTGCCGGCTACACACGCGCAGTCTTCGGGGTTCGTCTTGCGCTTAGCTCCAGAGCAAAAATAATTAACCCAGCGGCCTTGAAACAGTGCTATCATCAGCGCAGAATAGTATGGGCTACGAAACTTGGAGCCTGTCTCTTTCAGGATTTGGGCAAGTTTTCTAGCATGATCCTTTCCGTTGGAGCCTCTTATGGGTGGATTTCACTTCCTCCAAACTGGGTAATCTGACATAAGGTTTGCTGGATGACATGTAAAGTAAAAGTTATGCAGCAGAGGATTTGCATCGTAATGCTCGCGCTTAGTTGAGTTAGCTCTCTGCAAAATTATGAAGCAACTTTTCTAAGATAACTCAAGGATTTACGAAGTTCAAGTCGCCAATATAAGGTCAGGGATGCTGCGGGAGGACATACGGATGATCCATCCTTACGCAGGAGAATGCAAGCACAAACTTTCTTGTTTCGTTCAATAAGGATTGAGAAAAACGAGAAACCTTGTGCTTGTATGATTTTGGAAAACGAACGAAAGAACCACGATAATGTGCGCACAGGACGTCTTTTTTGGGATAGGATGTTTCTAGCTGGTATTCCGGTATTCCAGTAATGCCAAAACACTTGCAAAAAATCTGCCCAGTGAATCGAACCCACAAACTCCATACCACTAGGCTATCGGCAAAGCATACAAATTGTATTGAAATGTTCTATCGAGCGATTCTATAGAGACAGGATGCCGCTCTGACAGCTCATACTTGCGCAAAGTGGTAATTAATAATTGTTGAAGATGGCTGCAGATGGCAGCCACCGCACAGTCATTCTGAGCGTTGTTGGTGGTGAGCATGAAAACATGTCTGCGGTTGCTGACTGAGTTACATATGGAAAAAGTTAATCAACAGCAAACGTTGCGCCCAAATGAAAACCTTCTGTGGATCGATGACGGCCATTGATTGCGTATCACCCACCTATCTAACCACTATCCAGTGCAACAAAAGCGTTGCGGCTTTGCCGTGTTCTCAAGCACGGTTGTTTTCAGCGAGGTGCCAGTCGTAGAATAATTTGCATTGCATAGGCGGCACACTGCACAGTACACAATCAGCACTGCAAACGCAACAAATTGCGGAATGCTGTTTAAACAAAAGCGACGCTGCACTGTGTGCTGCAGTGTGCATAAGTAACGAAATTCCGGTGCGCAAAGCACGAAATCAGGATACGGTGCATAACAGCCTCCAGAAGCTGCATTATCAGTACCACAACCAAACTGTAAAGTGTAAGTAAAATAAAGCAAAGATTACAAGTAATTAGGTACTGACCTGGTGAGCACAGTAAGCCAAAGTGACGAACTGTGTAGTGTGTACTTGCGCCTACCCTAAATAATCAAAAAAGCTGTCAGGCAAATAGTGTTTTTTGTCCATATGTTTTGTTGACAAATTGCGGCACAGGAACCCCTGTTAACTGTTGGTAACAAAGATTCAAGCAGTATTTCATGAACGCGCATTGACCGCCTTCCCTGTTAGAATGAACTTATTGAAATTAATCCTAACCCGTCTCTATTTTTTTAGCTATGTAAAAAGTTGCGCTGAAATATCTAAATAGGATCATTTTTGGTGGTGCTTCGGTTAATGTTTAATTGTTAATGCCAAGTCACAGACTGTTACAAGATTTTTGCATGGGGTAACGAGTGACCGTTTTTGTCTGTAACTAGGTGAACGAATTTTTCGAAGCGGCGACGAATTGTAGTGCGGGTAATCGCAGTAACTGCGAGATCCGATGGTTTATTATCGCCCTGGAAAAGAAAGACGGAAAAGAGACAGTGGCGGCCAGAAAGGCCAGAATCGAAGCCTTGGCAGTGGAACGGGTTAAGAAACTGAAAGACGAAGAAGTGGCGAAGAAAACCAAGGTGAAACAGCAATGAATCAAGGCCAAGAACAGGGCTACAATATTTCGCCTGCGACATCCCACTGCCACTGAATGCCAGCGTAATAAAGATAGCCGTCAAAGCAGCCGATACTGGGGCTAAAGTGGGAACGAGAGAACTTGCCAAGAGTGGGGTCAAGGTGGCCGCCAAAAAGTCGGCCACATTCACGTCAAAAAACCTTCCTTACGAAAATTCCGCCGTGAGAGGAGATCCGCTAGGTGCTGTCATGGAAATCGCCAGAGGCGCGGCATCGTTGGTTCCGGTATACGGGACAGCCGCATCTTTGACGCGGGGATTGCGGCTTACGATCTTAAATACACTTAGAATGGTAACTAATTAATTAACTTTCAATGAAATATTTCGACGATTTGTCGTTATCCGGATGCGGCTACCTTTGTAAGAAAATTCTGATATAAGCTCCCCAAAATGGGGTTAAACAACTTTGACCTTGGGTTACTGCCTTATGTTTTTGTTTACCCTTCGTGTTTACTTACAGAATATTTGATTTGTATAGACATTTGACACAGAAAAATGCTAATATACTGTAAAAGGTTCATTTCACTGCCTCAGAAGGAAACAAGGCCGATAAAAGCTATGACAAAAGCAAGAACTGTTATCTTCACGGCTGTGGCCCCACTTGTACACTGGTACGAATTGCCAAGGGTCGATACAAAATCGGAAAATGTCTTCTTTTCTCCTTCACCGCAAGCTGTACCGATCGAGTCTGCAGAGACTTTGGCCGTAAACTGGTTGTAGATCCTATTACACGAGAAAGAAAGATAAGTCAAAGGAAACCACAGAAGTAGAAGTAGTCCTTCTGTAATACTATTACGAGAAATAAATTATTATCCCAGTGATTTGATAAATTATTTTGCTGGATTATCTGTGTAATACAATCACAAAGCTACTGTTATGGGAAAATAATCAAAATAAATGTTCGCATTGTGCAACCTACCGGCATTCCAGATTCTGGAAGTTGGCGTCGTTGAGTACCATTGTATTTGGTCGGAAGAGTCCCTCTGCGTAGATGACCGAAAACATCTGTTCACCGAGAATCACCATCCATTCCTTGCGCTGATTACAGTCCACCAGTTTTTTCACGTTGGTCGCATTCAAACGCGGATCGGTCAGGATTGTACCGAAATGGCCCATAGCTCGGGTCATCAACGCGCGTTCCGGAATATCAAAACACGGATAGACGACGCTGGATGGGCACTGGATTCTGGTGTGGTTCATGCGACTGTAAAAGCATACATTCAAATAAATATTCATTATTAATCGAAGAAATCTGCCGGGTGTAACATTACCTGGCCAGATCACGGTAGTTTTCGTCAGTCCAATCCGCTCCAATCTCCTCGCTGCTATTTGCCATCACTCTTTCTATGGCCCGAAATAGCGGAGTGCTCCCGGCTACTTCCACAGACAGCACACATGGGAGATATCTGGCCTGGTCACAATTAGGATTGGGCGTTGTCGGCGTCTGGGCCAGGGACAGGCCCAGGCACAGGGAAAGCACGGAAGCTAAGAGCATCATGGTAGACAGCAGGAAGGGAATTTTTATTTCCGGTGAACGAAAGAACTGTGTCGCTGTCCACAGACGCCTACCGGTGTTTAAATTTGTTTGCAAGGATTGCTGCCATGCATCCGTATCGGCAGCTGTGCAAACATTTTGGTTGTGCATTGTTTACATGTCAATGGTTATCTCTTGCCGAACAATGTTACAATTGGTAATTCTTCAAGTTATACGCATAATAAAGACGGTTATAAAGAATTGTAAGATAACGGTTTGCACATGTCTTCTGCTCCAATGGGTTTCCAAGTTCATTTTACTATAGTAGAGCCAAAAAAGCATATTTTAACGTTGATCTATCGTGTTTCTACAGTTTATCATGTTCCGATGCATGGATTGTACAAGATTAATGCGGTTATTAAAGTGAAGCAACAACTGGAAAAATTGTTGCACATACTGAAGTAAAATGTGGTGTATTTTGATTATAGTATCAGTATGCATTACCCAATATTTACATTCTGCTGGGTATCATTAATTTAGCTCTTCTCCATCGCCGAGGTAAAGAATAAACTACATCATTTGAACGCAACTTTTTCCAGAACACCGCGTACAGTTACCAAAACCGAACCAAAAGATAATTACAGTAGTTGAAGGACATACGAAAGATATGGGTAAACAGTTACGAACATTCCGATACGCAGTCTTTACTTCGGCTAGTGTCAAAGTTAACTTGGTTTTTTACGTTTCTAGGTTTCAGCAAGACGATAACTATGCAGATGTGTGCCGGTGATTTCTAGGAACAATGACTTCAACGATAATGTAATTCGCTGTAAAGAAATGCCGGGCGAGTTTTGATATCGGTAGTAAACGTGAAATTCCACGTGTCGGATGGCAAGCGCGTAGTATAACGATGTTGCTGATAGTTATTGGAGCCGATAAATAATCAAGCTGATGCTGTGTATAAATATAAGTTTATGACTGTGAATACGTATTTACGACCGGTTTTCTATGTGTGGTAGCGCAGTTGTGGCTTGGATTAAATGTTGATGCTTGATGCAGGTGTACATCATAAAAAGCAATTAACATATCCCAGTACATGGTATGTACAAATCAGTAGTCCGTATACATTACGTCGGCAAAATTTGGTACCGGATCTAAAATATACACGTGACGGTGCAAGACGCCTCTGTCGCGCATAATAAATAGGCAAAAATATGCGGCAATAAAGAAACCAAAAAATGCATGTAAAAAACACAGCGATATAAAAAACGCTTTATGAGTTACTGCATCGATTCATTACCTGTCGAATTCGCGACCTTATTATTTATCGTGATCGTCATAGTTTCTTGCTGGGGCAGCACTGCTCAGCTTAGCTGGTCTAAGTGAGCAGTTTACGGCCGGACCGTTATTCATACTTGTACATAATTTTTTTTTATTCTTCGCTAGCAGTTTCCCTGATTACAATGCATCATTTTGTTCCTCTCTTTCCAATCTTTACTATTCTTCACATCGGTAAGTAAGTAATGTGCACTGCAGGTGTAAATGAACGGCACAAATCCATAGAAAACCGTAACAAATTAAAGAATTCTACTTGCATACACGTTGTCCTTGCATTTTTCATTTTTTGCTATGTATATTTGAATTGATATACTGGGGAGTAGGTGGTTATTTTTGAACTACGTACTCTGTGTACATTCTGCAGTAACGTTAACTTACTGTATTTACCAGATTAAATAACAGCCACAAATTGGTACACTGTGGGTTTTATGTCTTGATTCAAAGATAAAAAATTGCGCAGTAAGATCGTAATACAGTAGAATACAATGCAGCGCTCATAATTTTCTACAGGAAAAATCGGAGCGTCTCGGGAGTACTCGCGACCTTCACCATCGTACAGTTCGTACAGCGCACCGGTGTACCGCTCCCCTCCGTCGTATTCTCCGCCTCCTTCTTCATACAACTCATACAGATACAGTGCACCGGCGGTGAACCGCTCGCCTCCATCGTATTCTCCTCCCGTTAACTCGCAAAGAAGCAGACCGGATTTTTCCCCAGCGTCCAGACCATCCTTCGGCTCTAGCTCACAGTCAAACGGTTTCCGTGCGCCAGCTCCCGTTGCTTCGCGGCCCAGTGATGGGAATGGAGATGCCGGATCGTCCAATTCCCGTTCACGTCCATCCAGCTCCGGCTCCTCCTCTTCAACCAATTCAGGTCCCGTAACTTCTGGAGGGACCCGAATCCGCCAACCGAGCGTCGATGGAAACGTCCAACCGTCTGTGGGGAATCCTGCTGATAAAAGGGTACGAACCCCAGCAGAAAACCCAGCACCGTCGTCGGCTAAGAACGTCGTGAGTCGACCTGGTCCGCCAAAAGACACCGGCGCTTTTTCGTCATCCAAGGATCTTCTGCGCAAACCAGAGATTACGGGTGCCCGAAGTGTCCGTAACCCTGAAAATCGTCCAACGGTTCCGGTCAGCGTCGCTGGTGGATCAAAGCTGACTGAAGAACAAAACAATCTCCTCAAACGCCTGAATGGTCGTACACCTGGCGCCGTGCGGGACATCAATAATCTCATCCGAACACGGCCGAACGAAGCGCGCAACATTCTCAGCCGGGTGCCGGCTAACGAACTGGCCAAGCTCATTGCATCCGGGAGTAAACGTGGCAATGTCCGAAAACGAGACCACGAAAAAAGGAAGGAGAACTGAGAAACCAGGAAAAGACGCCACGGTGGCGCCGCAATCCGGGAACACCAGAACGCGACCAACGCCACCTGGCCCGCCAACGGATGCCACAACCCCTCAGCCCCCAGGTTGCAAAGATTGTAGCACCCCACCGCCATGCAAGGGCCGTAACTGTCCTCCTCCGCCCATAACATACCCACCGCCCAACCCGACCACACCATTTCCCGACCCCGGTTGGCTGCATAAATACTGCTGGTCCTTTCTAAGTCCGGGTTATCCATATTGCTATGATTATTTCAATATCGGGAGTACCGGGGATGCGGGTGCGGTGCGGTATTCGGGGGCGTCTTGTCCGATTTCGCAGTTTCAGTGCGACAATGCGCATTGTGTCTACCGAAGCCAGGTAATGCCGCTCCGGGTCAATACTAAGCTAGATAGCAAGGAATTATATATATATAATTATGCAATGCGAACGGTTTTTTTGCAGTTGTGCAACGGTCATAACGATTGTGGAGACAATTCGGATGAAGGACCGCGGGCGAATTGTTCCCCGAAGGTCAGTGCTCCAGTTGGACTGAAAACCGGAATCAGGCATGGAAACGAAACGTCGGCGGTATTGGCCACCGCGGACCAGCTTGCCCAGATGATAGCGTTAGCCAATAAAAAGTCATAAAGCGTTGGACACTTCTACCCTAAAGTAGTCGTATGGCAGTATATCAGTATGTATCCAAAATATAGAATAATTTTTATAATTAAGGTCTGAGTGAGCCTTGACTGATTTCGTTTTGAATGGCACGGCCGGTAGTACTCGTACTCTGCGTAACCGTAGCCCGCTTTCGATCTCGTTTTGTCTTTTTTCTTTGCTTCGCCTTACTGGCGGTGCCAAACGCTTGAAATTTGTACTTATTTGACACAGTTTGCTTTGGGGCACACTGTTATTACGTTTTTCTAGATGGACTCATGTGTACATGTACGCATTAAGTATCTAGTTACAGAACTGCATCTTGATATTATAAAAAAAAGAACTGGTGAGTCTGTGCCTCCTTAAAAGCGGTTACATACAGTACATCGCTGCAGTACGGAATACAATTTCTACGTTCCTGAAGCGGAAATGATGGAAATACTGCAAAATATGAGACAAAAGCTTTGTTCGTGCATCCTGGCTTTTGTCATCTCCATCCAACGCTTAATCTTCGACGCCGATAGACGGCTGGAGGCGAAAAATGCCAGCCCACTCCTACAAAAAACTAACGTAATAAACGGCGTCTTTGTATTGTGAAGTCGGATTGGGCGTTAAGTAAAGGATTGCTGTTGATAATTTTTTGGTTGTTTTACGAGACACCGAGGTTATTTTTCATTGCTGAAAAACAATTTCAGCGGGACAAGACAGTGCTTATAAAGGAAGTTTGATTTAGCGAAGACTTTCCATGTACTCCTCTGCATATCTGCGTGGACAGAAATTCGCTCACACATTGTAATTTGTCCAAGTCCGGCTGAAATGATTTGTCATATACTTTTACCATGCTTTCTCATCGCGATGCACGGGCTGGGTAAGGACTTACTGGTTTTTTGTGTAGTTAATACTTTTTGTAGTTAACAACGTAGTCCAAGAAAAAAAGTGAAATGCAATTCGAATAAAATATGGCATATACTGCGTGACTGCCTTAGGTTCCGCAAGGGCGTTTTTCGGTAATTTTAATCCTTCGCCGCCGTCCTTTGCATCGTTCGGCTCGTTCCGTTCACCGGAGTTCCGTCAGTCGCCAGTTGTACAAGACTTTTCAAGACCTTCCTCCGGTTTTAACGGCTTCGACACAGCCTCATTTGCAAACCGGCAACGTGTCCCCCAGCCTTCTCGGCCTGTACCTGAGACACTGGATACAGAAACATTTACAGGCCGCCAACGTGCCCCGTTGCCTTCTCGACCAGCATTTGAAACAGTGAATTCCAATTCTCATCCATGGGACGCCGGAAAATTAACGCATTTCAGTCCTGATTCCCTTGAAGTGCACAAAAAACCGCCTTGTCATAGTCCGTTCAGCATCCCACCGTGCCGAACCACGGTCCTGCCCAATCCCCCGCCGCCGCCGTTAGTTACGCCCCCGCCCACGCCTGAACCGATTACACAACCTATACAGCCGGTGTGCTGGCCGTACTGTAACCATGGGGATAACAATTTTCAGGAACGAAGGAAGTGCCCCATCAGCCAGTTCACATGCGATAATGGGCGCTGTATTCCCACGAGCCAGGTAATTATATGAATACTGATTATCTGTGCCAGGACTTCGGCCCCTGTCCTTTGAGGCAAAGGATCTCGGCTTCCACTTCACCAATTTGGTTGCTTTAAAGTACATCAAAATTCTCTAAGTGTAGCGGTGGATCCAAGATTGTTGACTTCTTGCCAAAATCATTTGTCTAGGTCCAGTGGTCAATCATAAGCTTGTTACCATGGACGCGATAAGAAATGCACACTGTTCTAACACAACTTGACCGAAAACAGCAGAAGTATCTGAGCTGCTACTTAACAATAAGTACGAGTACAATACAAAATAAAAATTCATGTAATTTAACACGTTATTAGTCATCATCACGTTAGTGATCATTGCAAGTTATCTACCGTATGTACAAGTAGACAGTCCGTGTTTCGATTAACTTATGTAAAGTGTATCATAATATTAAGTACTAAACATACGTACGGGTTTATTAATATTATGACAGTCTGTAAGCGACCGCAAAACAACACATCCTTGGTTTTTACTTAGTTTTTGATAGTCATCGGCCAATATTCATCCGTGCTGGGCTTGTTTGAATATAGCAGCGCCACGTAGTCCAGTCGCCAATAATGTAGGATTTTTACTCGTATGGTTTAATATTTGCAGAAATGCGACGGTGACAATGACTGCTGGGACAATTCGGATGAATTTCTGTGTTCAGGATAACCCTAGCGTAATCTAGTAGTAACGGAAATAAATAATAACTGTTAATCAGGAACCCATAACAGCTCGCTCAGTGTTTGGTGCATCGCTGCTTCAACTGTTTTTGCAAAATCTATAAAAACACTACGGTTAAGACAATCAATGATACCCACACAAAACCTGCAGTAGAAATGTACTGATTTCTTGTGAGTCTTCCAAAGGGCAAAAAGCGACGGTGGCTTGGTTTTGAGTGTTACTGCATGTACCTGCATTGTATTACAGTAACTTACTGGTGTATTTCGGTTTGTAAGGGCATTCGCAACGCTGTATTTCACACGTTAGTTTTAAGAAGTTAGTTTTGAAGAAACAACTAATGAAAATCACAGGATGCAACATAAGCTTTAACTTCCATGGTAGAACTGGTTTAAGGTAAATTTCTACTCACATTACGCCATTTTAAATTATACAGGAATCGATAGAGAATTCATTTCTCTATCAGCTGATGTGAATCAAGTCTACCGCAGTTTACTCACACTTATGGTGAGTCACACATGTGACATGAAAGAGTTAGGATCTTGTAGTAGGCAAGCACAGTTGGCATTTCGTCTCTAGATTTCCTTGTACACTCCTACAAAACAAAAATTCGAGGAGAGCTAAATAAACATATTATGGTATAAAACTTTGCACGAATTCAAGGCTGTTTAGTGCTTACATAAAAACCGGCAAATGAAATAGGAAATTTACACCTGTATAGGCTTCGTCTACCTCACCCGTCTTGCGTTGCTCATTTACTCGTAATAATGCTCTCCGGCAATGTAGACGTTATGTAGACGTGTCGTACTGATAACTGTAGAAAATTATCATTTCACCGCAAGGCCATCTCGCCGCGCGACGTTCCGTCGCAGGACATTTCGTCGGTAGGAATTTACGCCGCGCGATTTTCCTTCGAATGGCCGCTTCGACGCAAGGAAATTGCGCCGCAAGGATATCTCAACGAAGCGACATTTTGCCTATCAGATAAATGATTAACCAAGCTAAATAAAAGAGTCAGAAAAGCGACAAATAAAAAACGAAACCAAACGAAAAACCCAAGAAACCTAAAAAAACCTAAGAAACTTGAGAAAACCTAAGAAAACCTAAGAAACCTAAGAAACCAAAAAAAATCTAAGAAACCTAAAAAATGTATGAAACCTAAGAAAGCGTAAGATGACCTAAGAAAGTCTCAGAAAGACTATAAAAACCTAGGGAAAACTAAGAACAAGCTTACAAGCTCAAAAAAAACTAAAATCTGGTGAGAATTAAGAATTATTTTGCGATTAGTCGCATCGTTGGAAAAGTCCCAAGACGAAATGTCCGCGACTATACGTCTTGCATCCAAATGTAGCAAAGGTAAAATGTCTCAAAGTATAATGTCCCAAACCGAAGTGTCCCAGCGTCCGAATGTCCGGCGGCGAAATGTCTTCGCGGCGAAAAGTCGCGCGTCGAGTCTGAGTGCGGCGAAATGTCACACTCCCAACTGTCCGGGTGCGCTTTTGGCACAAACGTTGAACATAGGGGACCTCCGCTACGCTTCGCTCGATGAGATCCATATCATTTCCCCATAATTTTAAAATAAATTTTAAAATCTTTGAAATTCATGTTAAACCGGAAAAAAATGCTATGGATCTGATATTGGTTCACTTTCGACTTTTTGGCCATGTGTCTTTTGCAGCAAAGTTGCAAGAAGACCAGACTTTTGGTACACAACAATGCATTTAAGCTTTTCACCCATTTTCGTACGCTATATCTCGGCAACCGGATGTTGCGTGCGCAAATGGTTTTCAGAACAATGTACACAAATTATTTAGCTTTAGTAAGACATAAAGACTAAAGTATTACAACAAAGTGGTTCGGAGTGCGCGAAAGCGAAAGTTTTAGTGTATGTGCCTATTTTTGACACCATGTACCGGGCCATTTCCCTTAAGCAGTCCTTAAGTACTGATAAATTGCGAGAGTTCGCTGAACGCTGAACACGCTTTTGCTTTTTGCTCGTCACTTGAAAACCTACTAAGCACCGCGGTCAATACAGTATTGCCTGATTTGTTTTCACACACTGAGATACATGTTTTTCACTTCTGACGCAACGGCTATAGCTAAAGCAGTGCTGACCATTAGAAGTACACGCTGAAAAAAAAACATCATCAGTTCGTTCGATTACTTGAAAAGAGTCGCTTGTTGGTCCCGAGATGCGTTTTCATAGAAGAAGCGCTTACTGCCTAATCTCGATAAAAATAACTTTTTATGAGTCGTGCCTTATATCTTGCTATTTTGCGTTTAATTTAGAATGCTCCTCGAGATATCATGGGAAAAGAGAATACCGAAAATGAAATGTACAACATTAAAATGTTTTATTCCGATGACGACAAGTATTGTATCGAACGAAAATTAAACATTTAATGTTGGCTACCGCGACAGAATGAGAGTTTACGAGGCGAAGATGTTTCCGTGAGCAGAATCCGTCGACAGTTATTTCATATAATGTCAAACGTCTACAGACTAAAATGGCGCGCGTTTTCCTGCATAAAGCGTCTTGACTTGAAAACCTCTTTGCCCATTGTGGTAGGCTCCCATTCGATACGCCTTATGGTTAAACGGAAAATGTAGCGATCTAGCCTTGTTCAAACAAAATGTAAAAGGCCTGCTTCCATTGACTGTATGGTAACTATGGCCTTTTTTGTTAAGCTTTTTTAAAACTTACTTCATAAAAGCTTGCTTCATAAGAAGCTCATAAGCTTCTCATAAGCTTCTCATAAGCTTCTCATAAGCTTCTCATAAGCTCATAAGGTCACTAAGCTTCTTCATAAACTTACTTCATAAAAGCTTTTTAAAATACTCCGAATGGTTTTTGAGTGCGCGATAACAGCGGTAAAATAATGAGTTTTCAATAGCAAGAAAATTAAAGTATGAATCGATGATCGGTAGAATTTCTTACGTTTAGTGCGGACATTCGGAATGTTGTCTAATTTCTCAAGCAATAGTTGATTGTTGTATGTGCTGTTAATGTTCCTTAATGGCTCCGAGCCTTTGCACTTAAGCGGATAATTTGCTTTGATCGTATCGGTGCGATAAAAAACAGGTTGGGATAAAAGCACTTAAGTGGCATTTGCAATGTTTTCCGCGTTTTAAACCGTGTCATAATGCTCACCGAAGCTCGTTTTATAGAATGTAAAATAAAGCGTTCCCGTACCTCCTTGTTAAGTATGCTACAGTACTGTATGTATGATGAAAATCATAGACCTGCCAGCGATCAATCAGTCCAAGCAAATTGTATGTTGCTTACTGCATAACGATATGCATTTGTAATCACTCATAAAATTTACTGGCTGTTTGTTTTTTTAACATTTTCTCTCTGTTTCACGTTTTAGCATTTTAATGTTATGAATAAATACAAGACTTTTCAAGATGTAATACTGCTCTGATTAACCTACTGTACTTTCAGAATGATTCATAAGTTATTTTTGTACGCCCATATTATTTATTCGGCTTATGCAGCGGGTAAGTGTGGCTCGATTTGGACGGTCAGTTAGAACGCCCAGTACAAACAAACCTCATATTCTGATTTTCCATATTCTCGATCTGCTTTTCCAATCTTTTTGCCCATCGCAGTTACGTTTCTTCCAAACTACAGGTAATTCTAACCGCGGTGATGTTGTTATTACGAGCCGGGATTCCGTTCCCTCTTCGGGTTCTCCTCGTTAACAACAACAACAGCTTCCGTACCGTCGAATAAGAACGGTGTATTCAGTCTCAATAACGGGGTGAAAAGCAAATATCAGCCACCTATTTTCAGTAACTCGTTCAAATGGCTGTATACACCAGTAAGTCCACCGGTGTCCTCCACAACCAGCAGTACGGCTCCCGTTCAGACAACGGGTTCGCCTGGACCTCCGTTCGGATCGCCGGGATTAACAGGACTGCAGTCGGTGGGTGCAGCAAACGGGGGCAGTCGCATCCTGTTGAAAACTGATGATCTGATATCGGCTACGCAGAACAATGACAACGTTCGCCGAACAGCAACCACCACCACACTTCCGCCACAACCAACAATAGTCTGGAATTCTGGCGACCCTACCACCTATAAGCCGGCAATGTCGACCGTCACGGATCCACCTCAGACAAGTGCTCCAACGTCTCCACTAAGTCTTTCTTCCCTTAATCAAAATATCGACGGAGGATTATCGTCGTCTGGAAGTGGACAAACCGTGACTCAAGAGCAATCGTCACAGCCTAAAACGGTACCAAAGCAAGCGAGGAAATCTTCTGGTCCACAGAAATCTGCCTTCATATCTCCAGCTGATTTGCTGAGCATACCGGTGCAATCGGCTCCCGAAATTTCGATTAATCCAGTGGAGACATCTCTATCACCAGTGTTCACGACTTCAACCATTCCTGTTGTTACTGAGAAGCCGAAGCCGAAAAGCTCGAATCGCTCGCAAAGCTTCCAAAAAGTTCGCTCACACTTTTCAGCCGCGCAACTTGTTGACCAATTCGTAGCGGGAAACAGGCGTGCGCATTCCGCCGAGCGGACATCGGCCCAGTCAAACAGCAGCAATATCACAACCGATTCGCGGTCTAATGAAATACCAAATAAGCCGCAACTGAAAAAAGATTTTCCGGCTAACAACGTTAACAATGCTACCGTTCCGCCTGGATTAATCGAAAGTACTACTACCACAACCGCAGCAAAAGCGGCAAACAAAACTGACCAACCGCTGAAGGCACTGGACTCCAACATTGTTTTTACGACGACAGTGAGGTCAACCACACCGAATGGGATAACCACCGCACCGCTCCTGCAGCAATGGCTACATCTTTATTGTTGGCAGTTCAAATATCCAGGATATCCGCTTTGTGTCGATTACCTGAATATTGGCTCCACAGGTTCCACTGGAGCTTTAAAATTTGCGGGTGGTTCGTGCCCGATTAGCCAGTTTAAATGTGACAACGAGAACTGCGTTTACCGTAGCATGGTAAGGCCAAAAACTTTCTGGTGAGAACTATGTGACGTAACAGAATAAATCGTTTTTCAGTTGTGTGATGGTCGCGATGATTGCAAGGACAATTCGGACGAAGGACCTCTGGCGAAATGCGGTAAAGCGGTAAACAACAGCAACACCACGACCGTTGCACCGGCAGATAGCGTTACGGAGATTGTTTTCAACGGAACGTTTCTAGCCACAGCGGACCAACTGGCAGAGATTTTCGCTCAAGCGAATAAGCCTCAGAATCAGGGATCAAGGGTAATATTTCTCCATGACCTCGCAGGAAATCTTGGGAATCTAACGATAAAAATTTGAAAATCGATTGCCAATTCTGTATCCGGCCTGCTTACCGGTTTACCTTACGCTGTGTATGTTTCTGCAGACTTTGCTGAAAACTGTTGATATAAATGCGACAACCATGTAACTAAGAAATTTGCGCACGTATCTATTCGTTAGGACGTGACAATTAGCATACGTACAGTATATTTCGAAACTAAATTAACGATTGATTGGTAGCCATTTTGCAACGAGCGAGCTTTAGTACCCTTTGGAAAATCGTTTTACCGATCAAAGTGCTTATTAGCGGATGGAAAAGGGAAAGGTTTCATGATTTATATCTGCCAAAAAATTGCTTCTCGACGTTACGTTATTGTAGCACATCGCTGCGTTAGGTCCAAGTGATTACTCACTATGCAGTAATACCCGGTTACAAACGGGCGGCAAAATTATTGATCGAAGTAGTGGTTTTTGTATCCCGTAATGGATGTGTATCCGTCATAGTGGTCTGTACGCGTAAAAGCTCTTCCAAAATTGATAGCAGTTGATGCTGAATTAATATAGCCGTCTCATCCATTGAAAAGCCGATTAGGTTGGCTCAGCAAAACGTTTTGTTTGATATGATACAACAATAAGTGGGCGGCAATAGTAGTGTTTCCCGTTGTTCTATGGATATTTCCAACATCAACCGTTTACATCGAATTATTTTTTTAGTTGATTTACAGAAACGCTCTGCGTATTGCGTTCTTTCCCGTTTTATTAAGAACGATGATTACGGAAGACAGTTTAGGCTCTTCTTGTAAAAGCGTTACCCATAATGCAAGCGTTTATACCACGACTGCTATCACTCTTGATGATCGCTGTTAATATGTCAAAATCACATCCAGTGGACCCATTTGAAGGCGTGAACGATCCACGATTCGTTGCGTCGTGTATCAGTGTGCGGTATCCCTCATTTGACCGTCATCAAAGCTGCCGGAAAACGTGTATTCGCATTCTTATACGATCGGTAAATAATGTGCGGTTAATTCGTTTCACTGTATATTTTGATCCTTGCACAAAAAAACCCTTTGCAGTCGAAACCATATGCATATGTTTCTCCGAGCACTGGATTGGATTACGAACTATTGTCCATTTTAGCGGAACAACTCGATTTCGTCTACACTTTGTAAGCACTGAAGCAGTACATGCTTTTTGCCGTGATACGAACACAGCGATTTCTGTTTTTGGCAGAACTGATCTGTCAACGGCACATCCTGAAATGGAGTCGGACGAGAACAACGCTAAACTGGTGTATGATTTAATTGGCAGCGGATTGTACGATTTAGCCATTGGTGGATTAAGCTCCACTTACAAATGGGGCGCTCCGATTCCCGATGACTACCCGGTCCGCTTTCCAACACCCTACATTGAAGACAGTATTATTATCCTGCAACGCCGTGTCCTTGCCAGCATGACAGTAAACGTCTTTCCCATTTACTGGGACGCTCTGTTGGCTGGGATGGGAGTTTTTATATTTTGGACATTGGTTTTCCGTTTAAGCAGGGTATTTCTCGGAAAGAATAGACGTCGTATTCGTCCGACGACGCTTAAAACTGCTGTTGTGAATCAGTTAAGCCGAGCTGCTTGCAGTGTGGAGCCTTATAAAGAGATGCCTTATGAAGATAAAAACTTTAGTAAGCTGTGGTACTCGTATTTAGTGACAATAAACAAATAAATCTTATTACTTACTTGATTTAATTTTAATTTAATTCAGTCAGCGCAGGTAGCTCATATCCGGCTAGGATGCCGTTCTAGCATGGGATCTTAAGCCAGGCTATTAATTTTAAATTTCGGTTATGGTACGTATAGCTTGTTGTTCATGGTACTTTGCAGGTACAAAGCGCAGTACCGGTCGTAGACGAAGCGAATTTTTACTCGTCAGCCAAATGTTTCTGATTGCGCTTGGCCTCTTTGGCATACTCTGCGTAAATGCCTTGTACAACCAATTTATGACGTCCAACATGCAGCTACAATATACCAACGATGTCGTGGAAAATCTCGAGGAACTGGCTGCTCACACAAATCGCCGCATTATTATGGCGAAACGAAGTTCGGCTGCGGAATGGTTTGAGGTTGTGGCCTTTCCGTATTACCAAAAGATATCGTTCTAACTGATGATTTTCTTTCAGCGAAAAGCTAATTATTCGGCGCTCATTAAAAGCGTTTGGACTCGGGCCGTCGCCCAGCCAAGAAAAAGCGGTTTTGTTGAGCAGCGGTCAGCGGTCAACATGTTGCTCAACGACACCCAAGGGTCTACCGTGTTTATTGGGTTTAAACGGCGTACCGTGTACAAGTCAGGTAAAGATTCAAGGAAAACCTGTGGATTCTATATTCCCCCGACGGAAATCGGTGTACTGTGGAGGTCATTTCCCATTCACCGGGAGGCTGCAAAATTTGACCGGGAATTGTCGGAAAAGTAGGGGTCCTTCACATGACACCCGAGTATTTGACTAATAGGTCGAGTTGTAGGATTAATTTCCTAAGGGCGTGCAATATTCCCGAGAGACTCTATCAACTCTACAGTTCCGATACGGCGCTGTGTCAAACTAAAGAAAAAGCCGCCATGGAGCAGGAGGAAAGTCCACTATCGTTACGGGAAATGAAATATGTGTTCTATTTGTACTGCGTAGCCTGTGCAGCAACCATGGCATTTTTTGTGCTGGAAAGAATATTTATTGGAAAACATGTGAGCGTCCGAAATATATTAACTTCAATATTCTAGAGTCGTACGCGGTTCCCTTGGATGGGAAATGGTGCGATTCTGATTAAAGTTTTCTGAAGGTGTTCGAGTGACGCGCTACTACACATCCTCTGCAGACAGTTATGCAGTTTATATAAAATTACCCCATTCTCAGTTTAGCGTGTTTTGAATGTTGTAGCCTATAATCATTAGTTTAAAAAATAATTACTAATTAATAAATAATTAAGATTTATTGAAGATGCCGAAATGAGGCCAGTTAAATGCTAAGATTCATTTAAGATGCTGAAAATGAGTCCAGTTAAATGATGCATGCTACATAACGGTTAAACTAGAGGTTTATATGGCAAACGGAAACTTCCATGAGCTGCATGATTTATCAACCTGTTATATCACATACTTCAACTTGACATCAGCGCCAAAACAAAATACTAGTATACAAGAGAAGTCAACAACTGTCGGCAGTAAACACGGTTATGTAACAACCAGTGCCGGGTCCGTTCTACAAACATCTATACTGACTTTACAATTGAGCAAAAGCGTGTACGGACCGGCCCTACTGTTTCTGAGCAGGTGCCGGTGCATTATCGGTATTGCCAATATTCTTAATAATATCTTTGGTATTCTGTGCGCTCTGCGACCAGGTTTGTGCAATCTGGGAGCCGGCATTCTCCATGTTGTCTCGGACGCCTTTGGCTTTATTTACGACCGCCTGACCGACACGGGCTGCGGAGTCGCCGATGGCGGCTACTCCACCGATGAATTCATCTTTGGCGCCTTGGATTTCGGATTTTGGAGCCTGTGCTTGACCAGCTTGGGCCTGGCCTTGCTGCGCCTGTCCCTGGGCAGCTTGGCCTTGCGCAGCAGGAGGGGCGGCGGCTTTTTGTCCCTGCTGATAAAAAAACCGTTAATGGCATTCGCATTAGTAACCGTACAACGTGCAAGAAAAACTGCTTGCCCATTAAAGCAGAGTTTACTCGATACTCAAGGGCCCACAAAAATATCTGTTTTTTTGTTGCCCACAAAAGTACGAACAGAGAAAGAAAAGGAACAATTCCTTCATAAGATATATTTACACCAAATTAAACATACTTTTAGTTTTAAAATAAATCAATAATTTTTTTCAGTTTACACTTAATCATAACAATAACTTTCGCATTTACTAATAGACGGGTACTTTTGAAAGGCTCCTGAAATTAATGCCAGGAAAATATTCATTTCTCAACGAAAAAAAGAACTGCATTAATAATTATTGTCTTTACCGTACCTGAGCTTTTGGCTGAGCTTGATCTGCATAAGAAAAAGCGATGCAAGCAACAAGGAAAATACTAGCTGCTTTGGTAAACATTGTGGTTGTGTACTGTAGACTGATATCAAACGAGATTTAATAAGTATCAACACGTAAAGATTTACGCCGTGTAATCATTTAGATCCAAAAAGCACTGATGTGTTTTCGATGCAGCGACTTTTATGCTAGTAGCCACGCCGGTGAACGTTCCAGTGGCAAATTGGAAAGTACTCATGACTGACGTGACAGTTATACCGGTTTAAGAGCATTGCTGCATTGATAACAATCAGCACTTTTTCTCCGCACGTGTAGAAAGAAACAGCTACGATATTATACAGGTAGTAAATTCCCAAGTTCCGAGTAAAGGCCGCAATATTATTGCCGCCTACTTCAGTGACCGGCAACTTTAATATCTACAGATACATCGCGAGCAAAAAGCAGCTTTTCTTATGTTTAGTCGATTGCAGCAGGTAGATTTCCATGTTACCGCCTACCGGTTAGTCGAGCGCGCCTGCGTACACTGTATAGGCTGTGCGAATGCTTACGTATTTACTATCTACGCAGCGCACTGCTTTTGGCGGCAATCTGTTTTGAAACAGAAGTATTGTTAATTTTTCACTCGCGATATCGGGCTTGCCGGCACATTTTGCTCAGTGTTCATTGGTGTGCAAAGTTCCCAGCAATTGTTGCTGAATTAAAGATTTACTCGTACTTGTATTATGGGTAGTAATTTGCCGCGTTATCTCTGCCGCGTGAAAATTAACAAGCCCACAAAAGGAAAGCCGTATGGAGAAATGCCGCTCAAGTGCATAAACCCAGCTCAATAAATGAAAAAAATGGTGCTTGTGTTTGGTATAATTCCATTGTATTTCGACGGATACGATACAAGATAATGTCGGATGAGACGGTGTTCATACGATCAATGTAGTATGCTAATTATGCAATAATTATATTCTTTCCTCTATTCAAGTCAATGACTATTGGAAAGCATTGACCGAATAATGACGACATGAAACAAAAGTACTGATGCGAAAATATCACAGCCTGGACAAGTAAAAAACAAAATACTCTCGCTTCCTATTTGCAAAGAAGAATTGCCTCAGTTATAAAGCCGATCTTGCGGTCATTGCGTCTTTTCTCTTGAACGCTAACGACGAGTTATAATTCATATCGGGCTGGTAGCGGAACCATCGCCGTTCAAGAGCACGAGCCGCCGCAGTGCCTTTGGTGTCTGACGTTACCCCACCCGGCGTGATCCGATACTGAGCATGGTATCCCTCCGGAATGGGTAGGAGACGGTGGGGCTCCCGGGCAATATGAACCGGATGTCCACTATAACTGCTGACCAACGGAGGCGAAACAACCGAGGGCGCTCCATATCTACAGTACATTACGGTTTTGCCACCTGTGTACCGTAATTTACTGAAATTTACTGTAATTTACCGTAATCATGTACAAGTACCGCAATTTATATCTCAATACCTAATCTTTACTAGCTGTAGTTCGCCTTTTAATAATTTACGAAATGTCGACTTCACTTTAGGGCAGCGTTACAATTTACGACAATAGGGCACACACAGTTTTTGGTACAACCGCATGCTATGCCTTAACGTGCAGTCGCGCATCCGAGCTAAAAACCGCTATTTTCATGGTGTAGCTTTAGCTGCACTGTGCAGTACTGCGCCACATTCGTTTGTTTAGGATTTAGAGTTGTACTAAAAGGGGTCACTTAATGCCGCGGTTGCCATACACGACCCGAAACGAAGCACAGCAGTCTTTCGGTCGTAAAATGCAACTTTAAGTCAGTGGAAATGATTCCTTTATTTAAAATTATAATTACCCTAATCGACAGCACTGAATCCAGTCAATATGAAGATCTCCACCAATAGGATCGAGTTTGCAAGCCAATCCCGTGGCCACGTATCCTTGAGCGCACATAACGACGAAATTGAAGTTGGAGTCGTAGTATTCCCAGTACTGGTCATGCGTGGGAAAGTAGTCTGCAACAACGCAGTACAGAGTATAAACCAAGAAGCAGTACTTGTCTCACTGCTTTGCAACACATACAACACGATGCGTAGTCGATGTAGTATCCTTTGGGTGTCGTGCAGCATTTGATGGAATTATCGCTTTGTGGTCCTAACATGTACGGTTGAAAATTGGAGAACCACATGCCTAAATTTAACAGAATTAATAATACTCAAGGTTCATGATGTCCCACCATTAAAATACTGCACTGCCAGGTTTTCAATTGACCGGAGTTATATAAAAGGTGAATTACCGGTAATGAAAGTGTTAAGGCTGATACTGGACTCTCTGGGATTGTAGCAAAGGTAGGCGGTAGTGAAGTTCCTTACAACACAGCTGCAGTGACAGGAAATTATTACCGCGATTTATTTTATGAAAAGTCATGCAACGTACCTTGGGTAATACGGATACTGTCCTTTGGATGGCGGTTTAAAAGGGAACATGAACTTGCACCATACGTTGACGATCCTCTTTTTACACACAAAAAATTATAGAAATAATACGCCGGTGATTGTTACCATAGAGCACAAAGGCTGATTACTTACGTTGAAATCGTCAAAAAAATCTCTGCAATATGGACCAGTGGATTTTAACAGCAGTTTCATTGAAAGCTTTCTAGGTTATCCGATATTCTTTACTTACTGTATTCCTGTAAAAAAAGAAGCCCAAAACGCTGCTCTATCTGCGTCGTTTGAAAATAAATTTGTGTCTTGGGAAGCTTGAACGTACCCACCACGCCTTCTCCGTCGAGGCATTCCACATTCCACAGCCGGTGCGGTAGACGGGTGCCGCCATGATAGTGCCAGGTGGAGACTACAGTATCACCCTACATACAGTAATTGCAAAACAGCAAGAAAACTCAAGCTTGCACATCATTTTGCCAACTAGGTAACCGATATAATGCAGGCGTAAAAACATACCGTCCCATAAGTTATGTAACTTCCGTCGTAACGTAGCGTAGCGGACGTAATACAGACAAAGCAACATAATTGTCCAGCAACAACAAGCAAAGAGGTTCCCTTAGGCATGGCAAAATCAATTACCATCTTCATTAACGAAATGTATAAAAACGTTGCGAAATATGCACCACATAAGTGGTTGCATTTGTGAGGAAAAATTTCTGGGAGAATACAGCTTACACTGCCGAGACAAGGGATAGAGGATGAGAATAAAATTAATTAATTTTAACAATAATTTTTATACACTATAGCCTTATACACCCGAACAGGGTTTCGTTTTTACAAAGGTAGAGTGTGATTAAAATAAAAGATAACAATAACTGTTAGCAGAGTATCGTTTTTCTTCACACAATCATCCATTGCTACAGATCTTTGGCAGGCTATAGTAAATTGCTCCTGAGACGTGCGCTGTTTTCAACAAAACAGAGTCTCATGATTAACGGGGTATGCATCCGACTCAACACCAACTGATTTTTTGTTTGGTCATCGTGGTCACTAGAGAGAAAACGAAAAGTGTTTGGACGTTAAATTCACCGGAAGAAAAAATAATAATACCTAGTGTAACGGATATCAGTCAGCAATTGACTACCGTTACTTATGCTTGTGCACGGTGAATGGTTCTTTTGTGATAAACCGCTGTATGATTTTTTATAATTATGTAACGTTAACGTATTATGATTCATGAGAACCCGCGCTAATTCGTGCCTGCATATTGCCTTATTACAACGGAGATACGGAATTGATAGTTAGTTAACTGTAAACTGTAGTCCGATTGACCGGTACCGATTGTCTCCTTTAGGGCAGGGGGTAAAACGTGGCAGTTGCACCTGCCAGTGGCACTGCCATTGGCATGGCAAGCGATAAAAGCTGGAGTCTCTGGCAACTGGCAGGCGATAAAATGCGGCAGATGCCACATAAAATGTGGCGCCACGCATAAGCGGGTCGGAGATCTTTTGCACACCGTATATTCTTGATACCCTGAACAGTAAATATTCAATTTTTTTTCAAAAAGTTAGCAAGTACTGGCCATGCTGGCACATGCACAAAGTTCGTAAACAAGCTCCGGCATATTTAATTTCAAAAGGTCATGCATTTTGCCGTTTACTCAACAGATAAGAAAGCGCATTTAAAGTGATTTTGAGACACTTTCGGAACTAGCAAGCACACCGCTGGAATATGCCTCGCGGTTCATCATGAGTGCAGCTGATCGATAAGTCTCCCTGTCAGTTTGCATCGTAACTCGTAACGTCAAAGCCACGAAGTTGTCAAAGCTTCTGTCCAACCCGGAGCAAACAGACACGATTGTTTTAAAAAATTGTTAATATAAAAGTTCAGAACAGTTTGACTAGTTTTTAAGTTACTTTAGCACTTCTTAAGGAGCCGTACTTCAGCAGTTTAGCGCACCACAATATGTGAAATTATGGCCCACCGACATTTCATCGGCTCGTCGACTAACACTTTGTCGACCGACACAACGTCGACCGCACTACGTCGACCGTGCCAAGGGCAGATGAAAACGCGACTAATATGAAACCATACACCTTTGCGGCTCTAAAAGCCCTGGCGACCTGTGGACCGAAGTTTGCGACACCAAAGATCGCATTCCAACTCCTCAGGCACCATAAGACTGACGACATCGGTGGAGGTTGGAGGCAACTAAGCCAGAGCAACGTATACCGGTACTGTAACCTTGGGTACAACGAAAGTAAACTCATACGGACATATACCAGCAGCAAGCGGATGTACTACGAGTTCCCACCGGAGAAACGAGACCCGGCGCCGACCACTTACGAAGGTTGGGCACATGCCATTGAAGCGTGTATGGAGATGTCGTGGCACCCGGAAGGACTGACCCGCGGCGAAGTTCTACATCAGCGGGTAGCTAGGTTCGAATTCAAATGGGAAGCTGAGAAACCTCAGCTAGTCGACATGAAGTACAAGCCCACGAACAGAATGAAAGGAGGCGAAAAGTACATGCTGGGCGACGACCTGGACTTCGTCCTTAACAAGGGATTCTTCCAGAAGAGATTTGGTATCAGCCAGACTCGGGAAGGCGAACGATACGAAGCCCTCAACCCATCGACACACCGACATGGACATTTACCGAAGCATCCACCGACCTCGGAGCAACAGACCAAGTCAGCCGACTCTCTCCAGGTGAACCGGGTGGAATAGACCAATGGATGAGGAGACGTAGAATACGTCGGAGGAGTCGCAGAACCGACCTCCTTCATGAGTACCACATAAGTACTTATGATTACCGACCTCCTCTTGGACACAACAAAATGTCCCGACTTACCGCAATAGGGAATGTATTCGCCCATGGCCAGCTTCAGTCTCACGTGCGTCTCCAGTTCTGCTTTACCTGTTTCGTTTCCACTTTGAAAGAGGCTATACAGCTTATGGTGCAAATTTATTTTTCCATACAAACCACCTTCCAACGGACACTATCCATATTATCCCCAGTATGTTTTGTTTTAACTCTTTCAAATCTGACAAGTTACTTACATGGATGAGCAGATTAACCATGCAAAACGCATTTTTGATTTTGCCCTAGTTGTGTGGTAAGAAATTTTTCCACTGCCTATCATTGCTACGGCCGGAAAGAGCCCGGCACAAGTCGGAACAGCTTCATTACTGGTAAATAAATTTTTCAACGCAAAACAAATTGCTGACAGTTTGAGATAGAAATCAACAATTAAGCATAGTGTATCGGTTTCTTTGACTTAGGTTATCGGTCCAGTACTTTTTTTGGATACCTTTTTGGACCCGACAACGATAATTCCGTAAAGTGCTGCACGACACCCAAAGGCTACTACATCGACTACGCATCGTGCTGTACGTCGTTGTCACAGCAGGAATATTATGGAAATCACTGCCATTGGAGTACGGTTTTATTATTGCAGACTACTTTCCCACGCACGATCCATACTGGGAATACTATATGACTCCGGCTTTAATTTCATTGTGCTGTGCGGTCAAGGTTATGTGGCCACGGGAATGGCTTGCAAAATCGGCCCCAACGGTGGAGATTACCGGATTGAGTGGATCCAGTGCTGCCGATTAGGGTACGCTCTTGTTGAAGGCAGTTTAAATTGATTATAAATTATCCACTGTTTACTACCACAAAATTTATCATAGAAAAGAAGACTATCCGTAGGATAATATGATGGTCATTCTGTTCGACACAGGTACGGAGCAGCGGCAGCTGCTTCCCCACCATTGGTCAGCAGTTACAGCGGACACCCAGTCCATATCGCCCGGGATCCGTATCAGTTTTTCCCCATTCCGGATGGATACATACACCAGTATACATATTCCTTGGCTGGTTTCCGGTCGGTTTTCAAAAATACCTCTTTCATTTCTCCACGCGCACGGGAGAGGTTTCGTCGACAACCGGATCTCGGTCAGTTGTTAAAGTGATCAGGATCACCTTACTGGATGCAAAGATACGAATAATAATAACAGAAATTGAGTGAAATAGTTAGCCTTCGTTATCTGACTATCGTGTCAATCGGGACGCTGAAACGATAGAATCTGATTATATTCTGTGATGATGTTGCGTGACGGAAATACAATGTACGTAAAACAACAAGCCTGCATCACTACTTCTACAGCGGGCAATGGCACATAACTCAGTCGCTTTACGGCTTACGCCTAATCAAATTACAAATCCGTAATTAAGGTGAAAGTAAAGTACATTAAGAGGTTGGGTACACATATAAAATCACTAAGACTCGAGCCCCGGTTCGTTTCAGTAAAAAACTATATGCGCTCGAGACGTTTTCGGGTGTGCGCGGCTCGTAGAGAACACGACGGGAGCACTGTATGTTTACGATAGAGCCCGATGGAGGCACCCTTTGCTTGTAACCGCCATCCTGGCGATTGTGCCTACGGTCTGTCGCCCACGTTAGCTTTCACCAGAGAAATATGCTCGCTCGAAATTTCAACTTTGAAATTCATCTTCGCATTTCAACTGGTGATCAAACTGGAAAATGTTTATTTTTTTGTTTGGCTCTCTCGTTCTCGACGTCATCGTCCACAAATCTGAATTCTAATTAACGGAACAGAAGAAGCACCTTATACTTTTCCTGAAGTTTTTGCGATATCGCAGTGAAATGGTTACGAGTAGAGTTCTTCGCGCTTGTGCTAATAAACACTGGAGAAAGCTGCTATCGGACAGCTTATTTGCTCATCAGCTTATGCGAAGAACTTGTACTGTGTGGCAGCGCTTATAACAGTCCAGAAAGTTTGCCAGCAACATCCGCTCCTAATAAAAAGAAATGTTCTGGCCAAATGAGACGATATCGTCCATATCCAGCCAGTACGGTGCGCGAAAGGTTCAACACGAAGAAGGGAGAGGATCGTGTTCGTTCCAGATTTCCACTCGCAAAAGTAAGAATAAATTCGGCGATGTCGCTTAAATTCTGTACAGCAGCTTTATATACTCGTACTTGGTGACGAACAGAATATTAGAAGAATGCGCCGCCTTATTCTATCGTCAAACGGACTGCTCATCCCCACGTATGAAATCTGATTTCTTTGCTTTTTGTTTTGGCATGCAGCAGCCCAAGAAAAGAGGCTGAGCAGGGGATGATCGACTCTGGCCGTCAAATGACTTTCCCGATATCAGGAAACATGAGCCTTTGGATACAACTGAGCACTGACGAAATCGTCGCGGATACAGAGATTGCCCAATGCCCATGGTAAGTTTGTTTTACATTTTTTTTAGGAATTTGTTGCTTCTATGCTCTGACAACAATAATATAAATTCAAAACGTGTCGAAGACAATTTTGTCAATTGGAAAATATCAGTATCAATTTCGTCAATTGGCTCTCTTTGAGAGCATGACTTGTAAAGCTGCTCTTTTGATTCTCGTGCACAGGAAAAGCGATTAATTTTTGAAAAATGCATTTGTTTTCATAGGATCACTGGACAGCTACGGTTACAACATTTTTGCGGCGATTTATGGAGTACGGATTAATTGACAATATTGTCTGGGCCTCTCAAAGCACTCAAGCTCCTGTCTGGATACTCTCACAAGATGTTTCTAGGTTTTATTTTTGCAGTCAAGTGAATTTACTGTGGTACAATCTGCTAATTTGTGTCTTCTGTAGTTCAATTGTGTAATTTTAACTAGCGCACTTTAACTTTTTATTTTGTCATTAACAAAAGCCGTGGTGTAACGATATCGCAATAAAATCTGTCCGAACTCATCCTGTTACAGCGCATGGGAAACTAAAAAGGCGGCCGGAAATAATAGGTAGTTGTAACAGAATCGGCACGCCGTTACAACCCCTATACTACAGATTGTGCACACGATCCCAATGGGATAGTTACACTTTTGCGGTCAGTTCGTCACCACTTCCGCACGTTCTGCGGTACCACTTCGCGACGTCGCTAGTAACGTCAGGAAAGCGACGATAACTCTACTTAAACTATACAAGCACAAGACGGTGAGGCTGCACGATGAACAGGTTTTGAGCGACGCTCTGCAACGTTTCGAGAATCCCCGGCACACGTTAAAAAAGTGCCTGCTGTCGAACCGGGGAGGAATGCACAAACATAACCATACAAACATACTTATTACATATTTAATACATTCAAAAAGTTATGTAGTTGTTTGAATCATGTGTTCTATTAATAATATAAAAAAACATTAAGCGTTGTCGAAAGATATAAGGATCAGCTAGACAGATTTCGCATGATTCGTACTATTTTTGGAACCCTTTGAAAGTATATGCTCAAAAGTTTTGTGAACACATAGAATAATACTGAGAAGTCTTTGTGCGTTTTGGGTTATATTGCTGTTATTTTGGTCGGTTATAAAGGAGACATCTTTTTGTGGGGTGCTGACATTTTGATAGCTGGTCACGAGGCAAAATTATTCACCTTGGACATGCACGGTACAATAAACGATGGATTTTCCAAAATTGTAGCTCTTTACTATAGAACTTATGAGCTGTAAGCATTTCATTAACGCCTGGTGGATAGAGGTTTTCAATTTCTGGTGTCGGTAACTTATTCGGAAGAGCGGTCAGACTTTTAGGCTAATCACAGGTATTCAGACTTACTAAAATTGTAGGCGTTTCAGGCTGTGACTACCGCTGCGAGGCGGCTGTTTTCCTTATAGCAACCAACTAAAGTGCGAGTATTGTTCTGAAAATTACGTATGTGCGTATCATCAGTTTGAAGCGTACACAGCAAGCTGTAATTTAAAAATTAAATTAACCTGGCTGAATCTAAAGTAACTGCATATCTGTGAAGTGTATACACAATCATCAATTACGCAGACACCTTCTAAAGGAGGGCAGGGGGTAAAACGTGGCAGTGGCACTTGCCAATGGCACTGCCAAAGGCATGGAAAGCGACAAAACCTGGAGTATCTGGCAACTGGCAGGCGATAAAATGCGGCAGGTGCCAAATAAAATGTGGCACCACGTATAAGCATGCTCGGAGTGTTTGGTGAACTGTGTATACTGGAAACTCTTACCAGAACACAGTCAATTTTCCTGGAAAGTGCTAACATCATGTGCCGTGCACTAAATGCGTAAGTGTGCAGACGGTATATCGTAACATTTCAAAAGGTCAACTTTGCATCTTGCTGTTCGCAAGAAATACCGTAACAAAAGAACGAAAAGCCGCGTTAAAAATACAACCTCGATACACCCTTTAGGCACAATGCTGGAATAAAAGCATTTTATCGTGGCACTTTAAACCGATAATTACCTAAGTGCGGTAGAGTATAGTACAGTCATTGCCGCTCTACAATAGTTCCGACTGAACAGTCTGAATTATTGTTGGCCGCAATGGTACAGTACCAGCATGACACACGATGCGTCAGGCTGTAATCTGGGTTCTACCCTCTGTAGAACCCCCTAAGTCTTAGGAAACGGTTTTACAATTATTATAACTGCAAGATATTTACCGGTGCCGCTGTGACAATAGTAACAAAACTCTAGTTGTGTTATGGCTTTGAACTTCGAAGTACGCAACGTAACCTGCCACGGAGGCTTTTGCAATGCTGTTGGGTATCCGTTAGCAAAACTCCCAGACTAGAAATATACGTGCGATCTCAGAAAGCAACTAACTTTTGCTGCTCATATCAAAACGCTATTCTTATGTTCCAGGTGTTATATTCTTCATACGTCTAAATATTTACCTATTTTTAGTGTGTTCCCAAGTACAGACTTTAAATACTATGTACATAACAGCATGAATGCTTGTAGTACAATAGTACTCGTATAATAGTTTAAGTAACGGGCGGTGGTTAAACCACAGCATATCGGTAAATGTTACGCAGCGCTGAGCGCTGCGACTAAATCATTACCACCTTAGCTAACTTAGAATTATACCTACAGCACACAGTTAGGCTGATAATTTATTAATTTAGTCTTCGCAGTGAACTTGACGCTTATAATGTGCAAGTACTGAATTTGCAAGCATATCTGTACGAAATTTGTTGGTAATACATGTAGGACCTTTTTAAGCTAACGTATAAACCATCAAAATTTTATATTTACGCATAATAAAAGTACACAATGCACAGGACACAGTAGCGTCTTCAGACTTATCAGAAGCTTTCAAGAAAAATTCTGCTAAATGTCAATAATAATTAAAGCAAAAAGATATGGAACAACAATTAAACTACACAACTTACCCATACTAGCACCATAGTCGAATACTCAAATTCCGAGAACGCAGATACAGGCTGATACGAGTTTATTTTGGCTTCGCGCGTCACTATGATACCGTAATTCCTAGCCAGTTTAATAGAGTCCACCTTTCATGAACGTGACAGTAGGGGCAATTGCCGCGGTATTGTTAGCCACTCTAAAAAATTATAGCGCCAGAAATCAGAATCACAACGTTAGACGCAACTGATTTTAGCGTACGCACACCGTACAGCAGGATATACCGTAAATTTGCGTACCGCTCGTGTTCATCTGCTTGTGTCACACGCTTATTTTTGCCGCTCTATGCAACGGGGAAAATAATCAATTAGCAAACAAGAAGATAAGGTTAGCTGTTTGTGGAGTTACACTGTAAGTGTAAAAACGCGCTTGTACTTGGCGCCGGTTTTTTTGGAATAACAGCAAAGTTCACGTGCAAGTAGACGAGCCGAAACTGTAGTGCAATAGATGAAAAATTACAACCTGACACACTGTTTACAATTGTTAGTGTTTGCCACCTTACTGGCACTTGCCCGTAGTCTGTAGTCGAAACACTCACAAAAACGCGGCTTCACTCAACTGTCTTTCTCCTTGCAGACATGTTCTCGTAATGTTGACAAGCGATTATAGCACTGGATTTTCCTTTCCGGTCCGAAACTGTTTGTGTATAATACTGATGGCCTGCCGCGTAGAGTGTTACTGGGTATGTTTAATTAGCATTATATTGCTTAGTTTTTTTTTAAAATTTCACTTAAGGATTGTAAAAGTATGAGCACCAGTACCATTACAATTAATTGCTGTTTTAATATTACGAGTAGTGTTTCTATCTTTAAGCATGCAGTATTAGTATCGCAGTAAGTTATTGTTATCAAACAGCAGAAACGACTGGCCTAATCACAGAAAAAAATTGATCTATGTTAGCCAAAATAAGTAACGTAATGCATACAGTGCAAAAATATTATTATCGCTATATATTCAGTACATAATTTAATTACATTATGTGCAACAAATTACTAATGCAGTTTTAGGGATAATCATTGCCACTTTCGAGTACAACGTTAACTCATACAGCATGAACTGCTGTGACGTGCTGCAGGCTGCCTTCTGAGCCTGTCCCGACAGTTGCGGTGGGGAAGTTCCCGTTCGTCCGTCTGGGGCAGTCAGCCGAGTTGCTCTCCTTGTGTGGGAGAGTTGAAAAATAGGGCAAGCGAAGGTGGCAGGGATCGCTTTTGCGATCAACCTGTTGCTACCACAGTCGCAAGACAGCAAAGACCAGGTTGAAGCAGAGGCTGCGTTCGCAGTCAATCTGTTTTCAACCACGGGTTCTCCGAGTTCTCCGCGAAAATTACGCCTTTACCGTCTCCTCAAAGGATCCGGTGGACAGAAAACCAGACGATCTGCTTACCATGTGACAGGCAAGCGCAGGGAGCTCACAGAGTGCCTTTATTGTACAAATAAAGTGGAGCAAATACCGCGTGATTGCGGGAAAAGAACAACAAAGCCAATGTCTGGCAGAAATCAGCAAGTCAAGTTGCTGCGAGCTAGTTCTAGAGCGTAATGAAATGTAGAGAATAGAATGCGCTGGCGGCAACGGCGTCACGCTGGCCAGACACAAGGAATGTGAGTGCGCAGACTGGACTCGTATCCAACGCGAGCGTATATGCGCGTACCGGCGACCCCATGTGGGGTCGCCGGTACGCGTCCTCTTCCAATGGGAGTCCGGTGTCTGTTGACCGTTCCATCCTTCACCTCCAGACCCATGAGAGGCAAGCAACTCACGGCCGAAAATCTGGAAGCCGCTCGGGGTTCGTTGTTGGACCGGTATCGCTTCTGTTGGCAGGCATCTTGCTTCTGTTGGCTCGCGGAGAAAGTAGAAGAAAAGTTTAATGACGGTTAAACAGCACGAGTTAAAAAGTAATAAATTTTAATCACAATTCCAGTGAGCAAAAAGTAAATACAAAACAGATCTGGTTAAAGTTTCTAAGTAAAATACAATTCCGTTTGTTCGAAAATGTATAAAAATACTAAAAAGAAATCTGTCCGGGGGCTTATTCCGACTAGGATGACGTCCACGGGTCTTGGGTTTCCACGGGGTCTCCTGTCTAAATGCAGTCCGGTGTGTCAGGTCCGGGGCGTCGGTTCCCGGGTTACCTCACGTAACCGGTAAGTTCGTCCGAGGTCGGGTAAGCACGGCTGACACTTGCGTCCGGCTCGTATTTTATCCGTTCCGGGGAGGGAGGCACTGTCGCTTTTGCGATTGCCGAAGCATCCTCTCTAAGTAAGGGGAATGGACCAAGGTCGTCAGACCAAGGTCGACCTACTGGCAAGCTTTTAACCAGCGGTCATGGAATCCGGCTAAGTCCCGAATTCCAAAGTTCAGGTCAGGTCGGACAAAACCGTACTTGTGTCGTGCGACTTCTGTGGTCGCCAAGTGGTAATGCCGATGGAGTGTGGTCGGTTAAAACCGTTAAATCTGCTACCACGAGCCTGGTTATGACTTCCGATGCGAACTGGCTCGAAGGTCCGGTCGGAATTGT